CGCAATCGACCGGTCGCGACTCGTGCGGGCGCTGGACGTCGACACGCACCAATGGACACCGATGCCACTCCGCGTGTGGACGCACTTTAGCAGTGCGCCGCTGGAGGTCCGCACGCCGACGCTGCTTCCCGCGCGAAGCATGCTGCGCCGGCTCGAGACGGCCGCGAATGATCATTTTCCGATCGTCGTCGACTGGAGCACGACCGACGACAGCCGCGCAGGGCTCTTGGAGCAGCAAGGCGTCTTGCGCATCAAGCGCAAGCTGGGCGCCGATGCGCCGCGCGCGACGTTCTTCGCGTCCTTTTCAAAACTCTTTGCCACCGTGTTGACACAGGCGTCGGACGCCATGTGGATTGCTTTCTGTGCGCGCCTGTACGAGGAATGCAAGCGCGAGAACAAGCCCGACTGCGTCGCCGTCTATCTGAACGCCAAGCGCTGCGAGGTCGATGTACTCGAGCACCGCATCACGCACACGCTGCTCGTCGCCAACCTCCAGCTTGTGCAGCTGCACATGGAGCTCGACGCGCACATGTTTCAAGCCCGTGACGACGCCTCGGCCGAGCCGCACGATGTTGGGCGCCTTGCGCAGCTCGTGAACGAGGACTTTACCCTCGGCTACAGCAACGCGCTCTTGGCGTTCTTCGAGCAATTGGACATCTCCATCGAGACAAACGAAGCACCCACGTCGCTCCTGCATGCCGCCTACCGTCGATACCTCGGGTCCCCGCTTCTCGCCCAGCTTGAATAGAAGACTTTGATCCTCTCTCGAGTCTGTTCCCATATCCACCAAAACGGCAGCAAGCTCACGCCAAACAGAAATGCAGACACATACAAAAAATTAGATTGATAGATACGATACAAACTACTCTAGTTGCCGAGCTCGTGGAGACGCTCGAGACGGTGCTCGGGGTGGTGCTCGCACATGAGCGAGTCGTTCTGGAGCGCGGTCCACGCCTTCTTAAAGTACGGCTTGGCGGCCTCGTCCTGGCCGAGCTCGTGGAGGTTCTCGGCCATCTCTTCGCAGACGTAGCCGTCGCAGTCGTCGATTGACGCGTACTCGGTCTCGAGCTCGGCGAGGACCTTGATGGCGTCTTGGTTCTTCTTGGCCGCGCGCAGACCGCGGGCCACCATCCACTTGGCGAGGCGAATGCACTCGGCGTCGCCAATGGCCTTGCGCGCGGCGAGCGCGGCCTCAAAGTGCGTGACGGCGTCGTCGGCGTGGTTGGTCTCGAGGTAGCTCCAGCCGAGGTTGTCGCCGAGGACCGCGACCCAGCGCGTCGCGTCCGGGTGCGTCGACTTGGTCGCCATCGCAAACGCGCGCTTGTTCCACGAGATCTTGTCGTTGTGGTCGTTCTGGAGCATCGCGAGCAGGTGCAGCACGTCCAGCGCGAGGTCCTCGTCCGGGAACGCCGGCACGGACTCGACGAGCGTCCACGCGGTGGCGAGCAGCGGCAGGGCCTTGGCCTTCTCCTTCATGTCGCGCAGAATGCGCGCGCGCTCGGCGAGGCAGCGGACGCGCACCTCGACCTTGAGCGGGTTGGTCGGCTCGTCCTTGTGCTTGAGGTCGTCGGCGGCGACTTCGGCTTCGATGGCATCAAGAACCGCGAGGCCTTCGGGGTACTTGGCGCGCTGGAGGTACGTGCGAGCGATCTGGGTCTGGATGCACCAGCGCTCCGTCGCCGGCATGATCGGGTTCTCCTTGATCATGTCGAGGAAGACGGCCTCCGAGCCCTCGGGGTCCGGGAAGCTCGAGAGCGCGTGGAAATAGGGGTGGTAAATCTTGGTGTAGGAGTGCATCTTGATGGCTGCGAATTGAAATGTGAGCGGCTCGATGGCGAAGCTCCGGAGTGGGTGACAAAATCCCGCGCGATCTGGCAACGGTATCTTTATCGTGTTTTTGGCAACTTGAACCAGAAGGCCATTTTATTCTATGGGTTTTATTCTAGCTTGAGGTTAGTATGGCATCGCGCGATGCGCAAAGATCTATACAAACCCTGATATATGTGTTTTAATGGCGACGACGAGGTGGCGTGTATCCACCTTGAAGTTATGACGAAATATTATCAAAGCCGACTCTAGCCTTAGCAAATTTATCATAGACGTCTCACGTGATAACGGCGATGTGGACGTTGAGGCTTCTATGTCGCCTCGTCGCGTAGAACCAGCAAGATTCGCCAGCGTTTTTTTGAAAGGGAATCAAGCACTGGGTTTTAGTCGTGTGGAGCTTGGTGCGCGTTGCTATACCTTTAGGCATACAGGCACATGGTGGGGGACCCGTGGCTGCATGGAAATCACCGCCGTGTAGACTGCTGTGGTGACATCGTGTCATCGCCTGCAGATGCTAAGCCTTTGTACATTCCTATGAATGCCCCGCTCGATCCACATCAAGAAAGCAGGCAAGGAGTTGCAGATGTTAAGTGCAATAGACTGTTTTGAGAGTAGGATGGGTTGCGACGTTTCTTCAATTTAATTTACAACAGCACTTGCGTCTACTATGCTACATTCACACATCAAATAATATATACGTGGCACGGGTGACGCCACACGCGGCAGCTGCGTCGCCGATCAGCAGCTAAAGATGGCGGCTTGGAGAGCAAACTTTGCGTTCAGCTCGGGCTCAGTCGGTTGCCGCGGCTCGATCATGCGCACGCGGACGTCGCCGCTGAACGAGACCTTCTTGGTCAGGCGCGGTGGCGAGTCGGTAATGGAGCGTTCGTCGTCGCTAGCTTGCGTATCGGTCGTTGACGTCGTCGAGTCGCGCGACGTCTGCAGCTTGTGCTTGGCGTCGAGGGCGAAGAACGCGTTGAGCCACATCGCCCACGCTGTCTTGGAGGTCGCACAGGCAAAGATTTCGCCGTTCTCGATTGTCTGCACGCGGAGGCCAAACTGCTGGCCGCTCCACGCACCGCCGCGCACGACCGTGTACTTGACGGTGCTGTCGGCGTCGCGCTTGAGGCAGCTCGCATGGGCAATCGTGAGCGAGCTGCCGTCGAGCGCCCAGTTCTGGAACTTCCACGTCGTGAGCCCGAGCCAGTTCTTGGCCTGCACCTCGACGTTGGCGCTGTACTTGAGCGAGGTGGCCATCGCGGCGGAGATTGAATTGTGCCAAGTCGCGTCCTGTGCTGCCTCAAGTTGAAGTCGCGCTGGCCTTTTTCTTCTGTTTGCAAGCGGTCGATTAATTCCAGCCAATCATCGCCGTCTTGCAGCAGATGGCAGCCAATCACGTGCACGCGTCTTGACCGGCAAATTCCAGAACCTGGTTTTCCGGTTCTTGATCGCTCGCGGTCCTCTTCTCGTCGCAGCTGACTAGAGCTGCGATGAGGAGCCAGTCGAGCTGCATCACGCGACCACATCGGGTAAGCATCTGGTATGGTGCAGGAGCTAGAAGAAGGAGGAAGAGAGGGCTAAAAAATCCAGAAATTCAGCCGGCTGGATCACCGGGCAACTGTTGGCATCACAAGGGTCGACGAAACCGACACTTGTCCACCTCTGTCCAAGCTTCGAAGTTGCCAGCTGGTGTTAAAGATCAGATTGGCGCGTTATAACGTTGTGCTTGGCTGGTCTAACACGTTTGCTTTGCCTTTCGACTAAAAACACGCAAGATCCATGGACCTCCGGAAGCGCCGGCCCGAGACCCGCGAGAAGCGGTGCGTGAGGAAGACGAGCCTAGGCACTCATGCTGCTGCTGCGTAGGACGACGACGACGCCCCGCGACCCGAGCGTGAAGGTGCGCTTCCGCACGTCGCTCCACAACACGGTCGTCGACGTCATGGCCGCGCTGGATGGGTGGGAAGAGACCGAGAGCGACGTCGAGTGGGACTTGCACTGGGCCGACGTGGGCTGGGTGCGCGAGAACTTTGACGCGATGGAGCCCAAGTGGCGCGACCACCAGCGCATTAGCCACTTCAAGAACCATTACGAGCTCACGAGGAAGGACCTTCTCGTCAAGAACCTCAAGCGCTTGAAGCGCCAGCAGTCCAAGAGGTACGAGTACTACCAAGCCAGGCGAAGCATGTACCGGAGACATTGTAGCGACCTCCTCGCTTCGGACGACGTCCCAGACTTTTGGAGCGTCACGTTCGTGCTGCCGATGGAATATGGCATGTTCCTCGAAGACTTCAAGCGCTGTCCTGGCGCGCTCTGGATCATGAAGCCGATCGGGAAGGCACAGGGCCGCGGTATCTTCCTCTTCGACAAGCTCAGCCAAATTAGCGAGTGGAAGAAGGACCATACGTGGAAGACGGACGTTGTCCAGGTGCGGACCAACGATTCCATCTACACGTGCAATTCCAGCGCATCGCGTAGACCAAGACGTCCGACACGTACATTGTTCAAAAGTACATTGAGAACCCGTACACGATCGGAGGTCGTCGATCGATTGCTGGTCGTGGAAGCGACATGGTGTGTCTAGGCAAGAAGTTTGACCTGCGGCTGTACGTGCTCGTCACGTCCTTCTCTCCGCTTGTTGTGTGGATGTACCGCTCTGGTACTGCTCTTGCTGGTGTGGGCGGCAACATCTTGATTGTATCGCAGGCTTTGGTCGGTTTTCGAGCGCGCGCTATTCGCAAGACAAGACGACGATGGACAACTTGTGTACACTGATGCGTCATCGAAGCAAAGGCCGACGCTGCAGGCGTAGACATGCACTTGACCAATGCGTCGGTGCAGAAACAGCATCGGACTACGATAAAACCGTTGGCTGCAAGTGGCCGCTCGCGCACCTCAAGCAATTTATGGTCTCCAAGCATGGTGTGCGGGCTGTCGACACCCTCTTTTACGACATCCAAGTACTTCATTCCTTGAAGAGCGACGCGGTCTTGCGACGTCGACATGCATTAGATGGTCATTCTGCGGTCGCTCCAGGCCGTCCAGCCCATCCTGATCCAGAACAAACACTGTTTCGAGCTCTACGGCTACGATGTGCTCATTGACAGCGACTTGAAGCCGTGGCTCCTCGAAGTAAACGCGTCGCCGTCTCTCACGGGCGGTCCGAGCTTCGCAACTGGCCATGTGATGCGACGCTTACAGTTTTGATCGACTAGACACGGACGAGGACTACAACCTCAAGTGGAACTTGATCAAGCACACAATGCAGGTTGTCGATATGGAAAAACAGCGCAGCGGCAACGAGCTGCACGTACGTCGCGTCATGTGGTCTGCCCACGCACACCGCTGCATGTAGGTTGGTGGCTTTGATTTGATTTGGGATAACGGCGCCGTTCAAGATGCCCGACCCAATGGCTACCTCTCGTATTTAGGTCCGTTGCGATATGATCCAACCCCACACACGTGTCACGAGTAGGCTGTGCGTTCAAGACAGAGGCCCACCCGCCCCGCACCAAGGCCACGTAACGAGGCTCCTCTTATCGCCCGCAGGAGACCAGAATGTGCCCGTGATCATGTCCGACCATCTCACAGAGATGCGGCCGGTCCACAGCGGTGATGTAAGGAGGAAAAACGCAGGCACTGATAATCGCACGCGTGGCAGCTCGAGCAGCAGGATGGACCGAAATCGCAGCCTGCTTTCGTTGTCGTCCGCTTGACGAGCACCCTTTTTGAGCAGTTGGAAGTTTGGTGCGCAGAGCTGTACACTGTGCACGGTGAAGTCCAGCGCAACTACCAGCACGGGTACTGTATTGGCTTGACGGCTCAATCAGATCGAGCCCTGCGACCAGCTACACCCGGCTGCAGAATAAACTCTAGCGGCTGTAGCTGGTGGCAGGCCGATCTGTCATGAAATCTTGCCAGAGCCACTGGACACCAACATCAGCCGACGGCCTCCGTAGTCCTGTCTGGAAGCACCATTGCTGGGCATTTGCATGCTGCGACTCATCTGACCGCGCTCCGTTCGCAGAGCCTTAGCGTCATCCTGAAGCCGTTGACGAACACACTATATCATATGACATAAATAGTGTACATTGAGGTCGGACCGTGCTGTCGTCGTTCTAAAATACCTTGTTATTTGTATTGAATCTGTTTTGGTGGAAAAAAATGCTGGCACGGCCGCACTTGTCGACGAGAAACGAAGATGAACAACAACCACCATGTCGGCGACCTCCGCTGCTCGGTCGCCATGTGCCCGAACGCAGCCCACTCGCATGGCATGTGCGTGGCGCACCTCCCGCGCATGGGCCGCTCCGAGCAGCCGTACTACATGGAGCACAGCAACCCAGGTCTCTCGATGACGCGGCCGACGCTGAGCAGCGACTACTCGCGGGCGGACGCGATGCCCTCCAACCAGTGCGGCACGCCGACGTCGACGCACAGCGGCTCAGACAACTCGGAAGGGCACGGCAACGACTCGAAGCTGCGGCGCGAGCGCAATCGCATTGCGGCGCGCAAGAGCCGTCAGCGCAAGCTCGATAAGATCAACCACCTGGAGAACGAGAAGGGCCGCCTCGAAGACCACCGCAACAAGCTGCTCAACGAAATCCGCCAGCTCGAAAGCCGCATGGAGGGCTCGGTCGCGACGACCAAGAAAATTCTCACCGACTCGGAGTACGAGGCGCTCCAGCTCGCGCGCACGCGCATCATTGAAGACGTGCATGCAATGTACAATGCGAGCATGATTGAGGAGACGATGAAGTACTTTCGCGAAGACTCGATCGTGAGCGGTCCGCAAAACTCGGTGCACCTGCGCGGGAAGGACGCGATCGTGCTCGACTACCTCTGCACCGAGTGTCTCTTCAAGAACTTCCAGATCACGCACACGCGCATCGACTGCGGCGGGCCGCGCAGCCAGCACTTTCGCGTCTACTGGGTCTTCACGGGCACGATCAAGGACACGGGCGAGTGCATGAACAAGGAGTTCCTCGACCTCTTCCGCAACGTGCTCGACCGCGAGGTGTCGATCGACGGCGTCTCCAACTACTCGTTTTCGGGCGACAAGATCGTGTACATCCACCGAACCGCCGACCAGGCCAAGTTCCTCTCCAACCTCGTGCGCATGTCCAAGCAAGCGTCTGCGCACTAAATTGTGTGTTTATATCTGTTGCATCTTTATCGACGTGTCTTGGCTCATCAGTCCGTGCTTGGCCGTGTGAATGCTGCACACGAGAGCCTCTCTACAGCTCTTCCTTCTCTTGAGCTGCGGTTGTCGCCAGCGTCGGCTCGGGGACGCAAGCCATCTTGCCCGAGCGCTCCTGTGTGCGCGCCGGCAGCGCATACATGGCTCGGAGCGAGTCAAAGAGTAGGTGGCAATCCGGCGCCTAATACGCTATCAGTTCAAGCCCACAAGGCAGGCGCGATCGTACACCACGCTGGGCGCAGACGAGGAGCGTGAGCGGTTCGACGCGGTCGATAAACTGCTGCGTGCGGACTACACAAGGCCAGAGTTGCTACAGATCGCCATAGAGGAACGTACAGGCGCCGGGGAACTCGGCGAAAAGGCGGTCTTCCAGAAGGCCGTGGCGGTGAAAGTACGCGACCTTTTGGTACCTAGCCTTGAACATAGTATGTTGCAGGTATGGGACGTGGCGTACCAGTGGACGAGCCGGGCGCGGGCCGTGTCGACGGCCTTGACATGCGCCATGTTGCCCACTGCATACTCTTGCAGCACGCAGGCAGGGTGCTCGTGGCCATCGTGGAAGTCTTCAATCTTCCTAGACTTGCATGCATGAGGCGCGGAGACGGCCAAGGTCACGCCTTACTCCCAGGCCGCGAGCATGTCTTGCCGGCCAAACTCGGTGTGGAGCTTATCGAACGTGTTGAGCTCCTGCGTGAGCTCGAGGAGCACGACGCTCTTGTAGAAGTAGAGCCCCGTCATGACGAGGTTGAGCAGCGTCAAGAGCAGCATCCAGTTCATCTTATCTTGGTGGCCAACAAACAAGCTGCTCAAGCCGTGTCCGACATTGCACCGCATCGATTGGTCAAAATCGGTGGATTGGGCCTCTCTGATTGGTCGAGGATTTTTTATTTATTGGGACGGTCCAATGCATACAGTATTGTCTAGGAAACCTCGTCTGCTATTTGTGAGCCTTAAAAAAACTACCATAATTATATCGTCGACTAGATCGTGTACTTGCCATACTTGTTGTCCGAGAGGCCGACCTCGAGCGTCTTCTCGTCCAGTATCCGCTGCAGCTCGGCCTTGGCCTGCTGCACCGCGTGGCGCGACGAGCCCGTGATCGACAAGTAGAGCTTGCGCTCGCCCAGCTGCGGCTTGCGACCGGCCGGCACGTACGTGCCGCGGCAAATCACAGACGCGCCCGTCATGTCGGCGACAATGTCCGACGCCTCCTTCTGCACGACCTTGTAGCGCGCCTGCTGCGGGTAGTCGTTGATCTCGAGCTCCTCGTGAAAGTGCGTCGTCTCCTTCAGCGATAGCGTCCCTTCCTTGATCGCCTGGAGACGCTCAATGACGAGGCGCGCCTTGTCGATGCCCGTCGCCGTACGCGTCGACAAGGCCGATGCATCGTCATTCGAGCCCGCGGCTTGGGCCTTGGCCGAGCTCTCGTCGTCGTCGTCGTCACGACCGTCATTGTCCTAAAACAGCCCAAAGATCTCAGTCGTGACGCGCGCGTAGCAGTCAAGTACCGTTGCATCAATCATGCCCTGGTCGATCTCATAATGGCGACGCTGGGCGTCCGCCGCGCGCTGGGCCTCCGACTTCTCCGTCGCGTCAAACGTAAAGCCCGAGCCGCCAAAGCCGCTGCCATGGTACCGCGCCAGACCATTCTTGACCTAATAATGTACACGGCCATGAGTTGGTTCCTGCACACAATAGACAGGACGTCTACCTTTTCCTTGAAGCCGTCCGCGAGCGCAATCAGCTCGGGTGGCACGGCTTGCTTGGCCGTCTCGAGCGCCTTGACCAAGTCGGGGGCATACTCGTCTTCCTACACAATCGAGGCATTAGTCCGAAAACTTCCATGGCATTTCGTCGACGTACCTGGGGCGAAATGAACGTGTACGCCGTGCCCTTGCGTCCGGCACGGCCCGTACGGCCGACGCGGTGCACATAGTCTTCAATGTGGTTCGGGCAGTGGTAGTTGATGACCAGTACGAGGTCCTTGACGTCCAAGCCGCGACCGGCGACCGACGTGGCCACCATGAGCGTGCGGACCTTGCGCTTAAAGTCGTCCACCGTGTAGTCGCGATCGACTTGGTCCTTCCCGCCGTGGAGCGAGAGCGCCGGGTACCCGGCCTTCATCAGGTCCTGAAACACCGTGTCGCACGCCTGCTGCGTGTTGACAAACACGAGCACGTTGCCCTTTTCGTACCACACGCCGAGGAGCTGGAGGAGGCGCATAAACTTGTCGTGCTCTTCGCGGACCTCGGCGTACTGGGTAATGTCGCCCGACGCGGTGCTGCGCGCGCCGACCGTAATCTCGATCGGTTTCTTGAGCACCTTGCGCGCCAGTGTCTCGACCGCGCGGGGAAACGTCGCCGAAAAGAGCAGCGTCTGGCGGTCCGTGCGAATGTTCATCATAATCTTGGTGATTTGGGGCTCAAAGCCCATGTCAAACATGCGGTCGGCTTCGTCGAGGACCACATACGTCACGCGCTTGAGCGACACCATCTTGCCCGCGCTCATGCACAAAATGTCAATCATGCGCCCGGGCGTGCAAATGACAATGTCCGAGCCGCGCTTCAAATTCGCAATTTGCTCCGACACCGACGACCCGCCATAGACCGCAGTCGAGCGCAACCCCAGGTCCTTGGTGAACTTCTTCGACTCGAGGTAAATCTGCTGCACGAGCTCGCGCGCCGGCGCCATAATGAGCCCGATCGGGCCCTCGCCGTCGGCCAATGGCGGCTGGTCGAGAATGTGCCGAAACATCGGCAGCAAGAACGCCAGCGTCTTGCCCGAGCCCGTCTTGGCGATGCCAATGACGTCGCGGCCCGACATGATGGCCGGCAGCGCTTGGCACTGGATCGCAAACGGGGCCTCGTACGTCTGGCGGGTAATGAGCTTGAGGAGGCGCCCGCTGAGGCCGGCTTGCGTCCACTTGAGGATCGGTCGCGGGCAGTTCTTGCCGCGAATCTTAATCTCGAGGTCCTTGAGCACGTCATTGACTTCGTCCTGCGAGAGATTGGCGATCTCTTGCGGCTCAATGTAAAACTTCTTTCGAAACGCAATGTAGTCGACCTGCGCGTGGTCGACGGGCTTGATGTCCTTGCGCTTCTGCTGCTCTTGGAGAATCTCAAGCGCCGTCCGCGTGTCTTCATCTTCCATCTCTTCGCCAATCGCATCTTCCTCCGTACCTTGGTAGATGCGCCCCGTCTCCGTCTTCTTGATCTCGGCCGGCGGCTCGTCGTCGTCGGCCTTGAGCAGCACGCCGGTGGTCATCGCCTTCTCTTCTTGCTCGCGCTTGGTCTTGATCGCGCGCATAAACTCTTCGAGCTCGCGCTTCTCGCGCGCGTCGCGCTCAGCGTCCGTCTCGACCAGCGGCTCCATCGGCCCTTCGGTTGTCGGCTTGACCGTGTTGGACTCGGTCGGCAAGAACGAGCCGTAAAAGTCAAGCCGTGGCCCCGACGTCGACATGATGTCTTCGAGCGAGATGACCTTGGGGGCGCCATGCAAAGAAAGCGACTGCTGCTCGATCGAATCGTTCGTGAGCTCGGCCATGAAAGCATCGAGCGGGTCGATCTTGGTCTCTTGGTGCATCTTGGCCTTGTCGTCTTCAAGCTCCTTCTCCTCCTTCTCGTCCATGGGCCAAATGTGCACTTGCTTGACTTCGTCGTCGTCCTCGACGAGGAACCCCGTGTTGACGACGCTCGGGGCCGGCACAACGCTCGGGGCCATCGTCTTGGGCTCCGCCTCTTCATTCTTCTGGAGCTGCTGCTGCTGCTCGCGCCACAGCCGGAGCCGCTCGAGACGCTTCTCCTTCTCCGCCTCTTCCAGCGCGGCCTTGTCTTCCTTGGTAGATTTATGCTCGACTCGCGCAGGCTTCTTCTTGTCTTTGAGGGCGAGGCCACCGAACGACGTTGGACCCTTCGTCGGCTCGCGCGCCGGAGACGTTTTCTCCGCCAGCGGCTTGGCCACATCCGCATCGCGCTTTTCGGCCACGTCCTTCTTCTTCCTCGGCGGCTCGGGCGACCGCGAGTGTGACGTCTTGCGCTTCTTATCCCGGTGGCTCTTGTCGCGGCTGCGGGATCGATCGCGGGACCGATCGCGGGTCCGGCTGCGGCTCCGCCGGCGCTCCTTCTTCTCGCGGCCGCGGTCATGGCTTCGGCTGCGCTTCCTGCTGCTGCGCTTGTGGCGGTCGTCCCTGCTGCGGCTGCGCCGGCTGCTCTTCCGCGACGACGACTCCCTCGGGCGGTCCTTCTTGCTGCTGTCTCCCATCGCGCAACTTGCCAACTGCTGAAAAATATACGTGAATTTTTAATATTATGTTCACCCCACACACATTTCTACCAATCAAATCGCAGCCGTCCGCTCGGTTCGATTTTGTCCACGCCAGGAGGATCGCATGCTCGTGACAGGAGACGACCACCATGGCCGCCATTGCCGACCTCGACCTCGAACTCGACGACGACCTGCGCTCAGGCGTGTCCATGGACCGCGCAAGGCCAGCGCGGTGGCGTCCACCTCCACGAGGGCCTATAGCGCGCTGGTTACGCCAACGCCGACGGCCGGTCGACGCCAACGCAGTGTCTTCACGCATCCAAACAGTATTGTACATCCTTACAGCTTCTTTCGCCGGTTGGAGAAGACGAGCGCCGAAAACATGAGCGAGTCGCAGTGCGGCACGGCGCGGGCCTCGGACTGCAGATGACCAATCTCGCCAAACGCCGTGAGCCCGAGGAGCCCCGCGGGCCCCGCCCACTCCTTGTAGGCGCCGACCATGCCCGCCATGCTCTGCGAACCGAGCACGACTTGCATCCCGGTCGAGAGAAAGAGGAGCGTGCCCACGACTTCGCGCACGTGAAACTTGTTGGCGGCCGCGACGCGCGCGCCCATCTAGACGGCGAATATGAGACCTCTCTCTTCGAGAGAGTCCAGCACGTACGCTCGCGACTGCGTCTTGCAGCGTCGCCGGCGACGACTCCATGAGCGCCAAGTACGTGCCTTCGGGGATCGGCGTCGTGGTGGCGACGGCGCCGGTCGCGTCGTCGAGGCCAACAATCACAGGCGTCGAGTGCACGCTGTTGTCGTTGAGGAGGCACCCGAACGGGTGGATGTAGCCGAGCCGCGGAAAGCGCAAGCTTAAAAAGTCGGTTTGGCACTTTTCCGACGCGACGCGGAGCCACGACTTGTACATGATGGCGGCCGGCCGGTCGTCGATGGCGTAGATGGTCTGCTGCTCGTTGTCGGCGGCCGTGACCATGCCCGAGCAGAGCTCGCCGTTGTCGCCAACGAGCGGCTTGTAGCCGCTGAACCAGTCGACGACCGTCTCGACGCTCGGGTAGCACAAGGCAATCGCGGCACCAATGTGGCTGCCGTTGCCGCCCATGCGCCCGCCGTGGCGCCGAAAGCCGCCACTGCAGCTGCCAATTTGGACTACCAACACACAGGTCCGTACGCTGAGGATGGAAAAGACGACGTACGGAGTCGGTCGCGGTTGGGCGAGACGGCCGAGCACCCGCCAAGGATCGGGCACGTGACGCCGGCGCGGATGCCGGCGAGGGCTTCGTCAATGCCGAGCGGCGACGCATATACGACGCAAAAATCCTACGCAGCCCTGAGCCATGGAGGATCGAAGTGGAACCACGTACGGGGCTCTGCGTGCTCGCGACAGGCAGCGCGGTTTGGGCGTATCCGAGCGCCGCCTGCGTGGCTTTGAACGCTTTCGCCTTGGCCGACGCCTCGGTGTAGTCGACGTAGCTCACTGCGTAGCTCCCCTCAGGGTCATGCACGCCCCAGAGCGCAACCAGTGCATCGCGCTTGACCGAGACCCATGCCGCCTCGTCACAGATACCGCGACCGATCGTGCCGCCGATAAAAGGTACGCCGGGGGCGAGCTGCTGGAGGCGCTGCAGCACGTACTGCCCGTCGCAGCCCTCGGAGAAGGAGACGACGAGAAAGTCGACGCTGCCGCGGAGCTTTCCAATGAGCTCCTTGAACGCCACCTCGATCGCATCTAATGGGCCATATGAGCATTGGAGAAACACACAAATGCGGCAAGCACGCACCCGCGTCGGGCGTCTTGACGGCCCACGCCGAGGCCACGCGGACCGGCGACGTTTCCACCGACGACGTGCGTCGGCGCGGCGGCGTTGGCGGCGAGTCGAGCGGCGCATACTTGCGGTCAATGTTGAGTGGGGGCCGGAACTCGGGCCCACGGTCCGACTGGCTGCGTTGGATGCTGCGGCGACCTCCGTCATCATCATAGAGCCGGACAGGTCGCGGCTCTTCGCGTCGATGCCAAGACGCAGCGCGCGTCCGTGGCGACGGCGGCTTGTGGGCCAACTGGACCGGCTCTGGCTCCATGGGCGGCGGCGTCGGCACCCGGCGACGCATTGGCTCCAACGGCTCGGGCGCTGGCGGTGTGTTTCGCGACCTTCGTGAGCCGAGCGAGCTTACGTGGTGCTCCGAGTGGAGCGGGCTCGAGGCCGGTCGGGACCGCGGTGTGTGGTCGCTCGACGCGTAGCTGCGGTCTTCCGAGCCTTCCGAGATGCGGTTCGCGAGGTTGTCGCCGCCCGTAAAGCGGGCTTGCGACATCGTCGAGCGAGGCGACGCATTGCCGTCCGGCTCGAGCCACGCAAAGAGGTCGTCTTCGTCAATGTCCAAGTCCCCGGTTTGGTTCATTTGGCCTTGGCGCTCGAGGAGGCAGCGGCAGCAGAGTCGGATGTCGGCTTGGATGTAGACGGTTTGAACATTGTGCCGGTCCGGGATCGAGTGCGCCGACGACGCTGGTAAGATGTTGGAGCACTGATCGCAGACAACCTCGCCACACACGCGGCAGTGGTGGCGGCGTCGGAAGAAGGACAGGAACGGCCGGTCGCAGATGGAGCAGAACGGCCGGTCGCTGTCCGGCACCCACGCGGCGGTCTGTACAAAGTTCATATCGAGTGTGACCGACTTGACGGTTTGAAGCGCGTCGCGAAAGCCCTTTGCAAGCTTGAACACCATGTCTTGGGCGGGGTTCTTGAAGCCGAGGTCGAGGAGCGACGGCATGCGTTGGAGCGCGACCGACATGAGCACGTTCTCCGAGCCGTTGAGGCGCGCGCCGCGCTCAAACTTCATGATGAGCGCGTCAATCTGCATGCGTTCGTAGTGTGCGCTGTCGCTGGGCGCGCGGACGTTGGTCGACTCGGGCAGCGACTCTTGGAAGAGGTAGCAGCACTTCAAGCGGCCGTGCTCGAGGACGAGGCCAATGAACTCGAGCACGAGGTGGTCGAGGGGCTTGTGGAGCTTGGATTTGCCGGTCGTCGCATACCATTTCACGGCCATGCGCTTGTGCGTCGGATGGAACGCCGAGACGCCGGACGTGGGCACGTCCAATGCGCCGGACGCGTCCGGTGGGATCGTCGCGACGACCGCGGCGTCGACGAACGTGTCTTGGAAGATCTCCTGCGTGAACGTATGGCACGCTTCCGTGTGATCGTTGGAGAAGAGGCGCTTGACGAGCGTCGGCAGCTTGGTCTCGATCGACGCGACGGCCTTGTTGGCGACAAAGACCTTCCAGTCGGCGGTCGTCTTGGCGAGCGCGATGCCATCCTTGGCGCCAATGTCTTGCCAGCACGAGCCGCTGGACGTCGCCTCCGTGAGCATCTGCAGCGCTGCGTTCGCTCGGCGCTCGGCGATCGCGCCCAGCGAGTGGAACCGCGCGTCGCCCTCTCCGCGCATGCTGCTGCCGTAGGGACAATGATAAGCCGCCTGGCGACGAGGTGGGTGAAACCTAGGTTTTGCCCAAGATAATTGTCGCACCTCCCGAGCATACTCGCACCAAGCTTGGCGCTGATAGTGAAAAAGGCGCGAGGTACGACGATCGCGCCAGCTGGCAGCATGTCGCTGACACGCCGGCGATTGCAAATCGGGCAAAAGGCATGGCCACGACGCCCTCGCTCGTGCAACCGTCGTCGCTTGCGTCAACGATCGGACCACCTTGCACGCGCGCTCGGCATGACCCAAGAAGGGTGCAGGGTAGCGAGCAGCGGCCGCCACCGCCTCGTCGGTGCTCCACGAGGTCGAGATGATCGATATTGTGGGGCGTATGGTTCTGAAGCATCGCTCGTAAAAAGGCCAACTCTGGATGCCTCCGAGCTGGACGATGGGACATAAGACGCCGAGAGCCGAGGAGCTTGTCGACGGCGCGACGTCACGCGTCGTCTAGGATTAAGGACGCACGCGTGGTATGAGCAAGGAACGGGACGCGCGGTGACGGCGGCGGTGACGACGGCAGTGCGGAGGCTGTCATCCGAGAAGGCCATTGGCTATCTTTTTGGCCAATCGCAGTGGGGCGTAAGACCATCATTCACCATATTGCGCATATTGGCCATTGCCCATTGCGCGGTTGAAGCGAGAATGGCCGGGACGTTGCCCTTTGGAAGCTTCTGCGCGCTCCTCGAGCGCGTCGCCAGCACGACCAAGAGCGAGGCCAAGCTCAAGCTCATCTTTAGCACGGAGCTGCGCGCGGCCTGCGGCGATGGCTCGGTGTACCCGCTGCTGCGGCTGCTCCTGCCGCACCTCGACCGCGACCGGACGTACAAGCTCAAGGAGAAGAAGCTCGCCGCGTTGTACGTGGAGCTCCTCGGCATCAGCGCCAGCAGCGGAGACGGCAAGAAGCTCTTGCATTGGACGGACCCGACGATCGTGACGACGCGGGCGGTCGGCGACTTTTCGTCCGTGCTCGAGGAAGTCATGCAATACCGGGCCAAGCCCTGCGATGCGTCCGTGACCATCGAGGACGTCAATGGACTCCTCGACGCGCTCAATAAGGTGCACATGGTCGATGCGATGGCCGAGAAGAAGCGCGTGCTGCGGCAGATGCTTACACGCTTCTCGGGCAACGAACAGAAATGGCTTGTCCGCATGATCCTCAAAGACCTCAAGATTGGACTGCGCCACGAACGCGTATTGGCCTTTATTCACCCGGACGCGCCCGAAATGTTCAACCACACGAACGACTTGGCCCGCGTACGTCACTCTTTCCTGTGCATGGCCTGTACACCAAGGGTCTCCTGTAGGTCTGCGACGAGCTCACGGACTCGCGCGTTCGGTACGTACCGGCGATTACGCCCGGGCAGGTCTTTACGCCGATGCTCGCCAAGCGCGTGCCTTTTGGCGAGTGCACCCAAGCAATGCAGTCGAATGCGTTCTACATGGAGCCCAAGCTCGACGGCGAGCGGATCACGTGCCATGTACAGCGCACGGCGTCCGGCGGTCGCTCGACGCAGCTCGTTACACGCAACGGCACCAACTACACGGACAAGTACGGCCCGGCCATCGCCTCGTACATTGAGGCCCAAGTACGTGGTTGATTGCATCAAGCTGGCGAAACAACGATGGACATAGGTCCATGCAGCGTACGACTGCATTCTCGACGGCGAAATGCTTGTCTGGGACAGCGTCGCGTTCAAGTACGAGTCGTTCGGGTCGCTCAAGACGGTCGCGATCGAGCAAGCCCAAGGGTACGGAACCTTCACGATGCGCAGCGAGGATGGGATCGATGTCATTGTAGCAAAAACCCAGGGCAGTGGCTCTGCTACGTCGTGTGGGACATTGTCTACTGCGGCGGCGACGGCGCCATGGCGCTCATCCAAAAAGCCTGCCCCAACGTCGTCGCGTCGACGTCGACCAACATTATGGGTACCGAGATCAATGGTACCATGGCATCTCTTCACGTGAGGACTAGGGTTACCGCTCTCGGCACGCCTCTCCGTCCTGGATGCGATCTTGACACCGCTGGCGCACCGCGTTGAACGCATCGAGCAGGTCCTCGTGACCGCCTCGATGCCGGCGCAGGCCCGACACGAGCGCGTCATGGCCGAAGTCGACGCCCGCCTTCTCGCTGGCTACGAGGGTGTGATCCTCAAGGACGCCACGTCCCACTACATGTGCGGTGAAGCCGGTCGAAAGAGCCAGCGCTGGGTCAAGCTCAAGCCCGATTACGCCGGCATGACCCGCCAACTGGACGTGCTCGTCATTGGCGGCTACTACGGGTCGGGCAGTCGGCGCGGCGGCGCCGTCTCCCATTTTCTGCTCGGTTGGTGCAGTCGCGCATGGCGACGTCTCATGTCGTGCTAGGGGTGCTGGAACGGACGCCAAAGGCGTCGGACGCGTCGGTACCGGTGGTGTCGTTTTGTAAAGTGGGCTCGGGCTATTCGTTGCCCGAGCTGGAGGCGCTTCGGGAGCGTCTCGCGCCGCACTGGCGCCCCTGGGAGGCCGGCAAGGTACTTGCTTTAGTTTCGCTGTGATCTACTCGTAGATCCATTTGTGTGTGTAGCTGCCAGAACACTTTGAGGGCTGGACACCAAAAGCCGACTCTCGCCCGGACGTGTGGCTAGCCCCTGAAGACTCGGTCTGCGTCGAGATCTATGGGTTTGAGCTCACGTACTCGAGCGAGTACCAGACGGGCTTGACACTCCGCTTTCCGCGCGTCAAAGCCATTCGGTACACTCGGATCGAAGTGGTGTAGAACACTGACACGCTCTGTAGGTATGACAAGAACTGGACCGACGCGCTCACACTCTCGCAGCTCAACGCTCTCAAGGGCCAGCAGTTTAGCCAAAAACGCGCGATCGATGTGGCCTTCGGCCACAAGGACACGACGAAGCGCAAGGCGACGCCACAAAAGTCCAAGCGCGCGGCCTTGGACAAGGGTCACGTCGGCGTCGCGCTGCAATACACGCAGGCCAACCTCGCCGAGGTCGAAGAAGCATCGTCGCTCTTCTCAGGCAACAAGCGCCCATGGCGTCTCTAGTCGTGTTGACGGCGAGGGGTAGGGTCTACGTTTTGTGTGCTCCCCGGCAAGCTCGGCACGATGGACAAGCCGGGTCTCGAGCAGCTTCTGCACGCTCATGGTGCCACGTGTGTGCAAAACCCGCACCCAACGCTGCATCCGCCCGCGACGACGTGGATTGTGGCGCCGCATGCCGACGGACTGAAAACACGCAACTACATGAAGCAAGGTGTGTACGACATTCTGCACGCCGACTGGGTCCTCCGCAGCGTCGAAGCGAGCGTACGCTCTCTCTCATACGACTAGTTCCACGCACGTTTTGAGTAGAGTTTGGTCGCCAAGCGCGCGACCGACTATGTGTTTGCGACGGCGCCAACGGCCGCGCTCCTCACGACCCAGTACGATGCCTACGGCGATCACTACACAACCCCATTGACGCGCGACGACCTCGAACGACTCTTGCAGTCACCGGCGTTTCCACCGCCGCAGCCGCACGCGTGGCAGGACGCGGCGCGCCATCTCAATGCAGACGAGCAAGCAGCGATCGAGTGCCCGACCAACTGCCTCTGGCACTGCGTCGTCTACGTGGACCAGTTTTCATCGATGGTGACGGACGCGTCGTTGCCAGCGCGAGTGGACCGTACATCGGATATGCATCACATCGCGCAGTGCATCGCTCTCTTCGGTGGCCAAGTCGACACGGTGCTATCGAGTCGGGTCACGCATGTCGTTCTGCCGGACGGACCGTCGACACCAGAGCGGCTCGCGCTTCTGCGCCCGTGGATCCAAGCGAGACGGCGCACCGCGGGTAGCGAGCCGGTCGTCGTCACGTCCAAGTGGGTCGTCGCCAGCATTCGCGCTCGCGAGCAATTGCCAATGGAAGGCCACGGAGCGCCCGTCTTTCAGATTCCGTGCTAAGGCGCATGTCGTAGTACAAGGGTACACTTGTATTAATACCTTTGATTATCAGTGCCGTCTTCCCTTCAGAAATTTGTTTCGTGCGCTTTACAAGGCGCCAGCGTCCTTGAGAAGAGGAACGAGCTTCCCGGCCTTCTGGAGCGCCGCCGTGTCGGAGCCGCCGCCAATGGACTTGCCGTTGATAAAGACATTGGGCACGGTGCGCTGGCCCGTGAGCTGGAAGCAGGCGTTCTGCACGTCGTCCCCGGTCGGCGCGTCGCCCATTTGGTTGAGCTCGACGACGTGGAAGCGCGCGCCGACGGAGCCGAGCACGTCCTTGGCCATGCGGCAGTACGGGCACGTCGTCTTGCTGAAGACGACGACGCCGTGCTGCGAGATCAAGCTCTTGACAAATTGGACGCCCGAGACCATTTTGGAATTCGCGACCACGCATGGCGTCCTTTCTGCAGCGACGTTTGATTGGCGGAAACCTTTGACGTTGACGCACGGGATTGGCGGATTTATGAGCTATGCCATTGGTCCATTTGGATCATGAAACGTTGCCTTCAACACGCGTCGTCCCGTGACGAGGTGGCATGGCTCGTGTGGTCCGCGCCAAAAATGCTACAGAGTGTGAAGAATCACTGAGAGAATACTACGGCCGAGAGGGTAGACTCGGAGTGTGAAGAATCACTGAGAGAATACTACGGCCGAGAGGGTAGACTCGGTTCCGGCAGCGATAACATTTCTGTCAGATCTGATATCGACCAGAAATCTGTATGGACCTCATACCGGTATATGCCAGGAGGAAAGCTTCGGCGAGTCTTGACTCGTCAGCGATGTATGCTTGCAGGAGGAAAGCTTCGGCGAGTCTTGACTCGTCAGCGATGTATGCTTGCAGCGACCAGACATCGCTTCGCCACAAACTCGGCATGTCGAGGTACAGAGTGCTAGTGGGCTTGAGCGCCGATGCAATCCATTGCGGACGGCCGTGTTGGGTACGGACCGTTGTGACGCCGTAGGAGGTGGCGTTGGCGCCGTTTTCCGGATACGGCGGCTAAGAATAGCGTGTCGCCGGATGGCAGTCTGGCCAGAAAGGCGGCTCGAAACAGTTTCGGTTGCGCCTCGTTGCGAAAGTCAGTTGCAGCTTGGCCCGCGGTCGCGTGTCTGAGCCAGCATGTTACCTGCGCTCACGACCAAGCCCAAGCAGCCCATTAAGCAGATCAAGGGCCTCAGCAACGACTCGATCGACGCGTATGCCAACGCGCCGATCACGTCGTCGTCGACCTCGTATGTCGACACGAGCGACAAGACGCCCAAGACAGCGCGCGAGCCGACGCCGCCCGACGACGAAAATGCCTCCACGACCTTGGCGCGAGCACTTCGCGACCGCAAGCCCAAGAACGACGAGGAGCTCACGCTCAAAGCCGGCGACCTCCTCACGGTCCATTCGTCCAAGAAGACGGGCTATTTAAAGTGCGAGTGCAACGGCAAAGTCGGGTATGTGCCCGCATCCTATGTCGAGTTCCTCGACAAGGACGGTGCCGTCACCGAAGCGCCGTCGTCGCCGCGCAAGAAGAAGAAGAAGGCCAAGAAGAAGAGCCACAAGAAGCGCCACTCGTCCGACGAAGACGATGTCGACCTCGAGGAAGAGGAAGAGGAGGAGGCGGAGACACCGCGCAAGTCTGCACGCAAGGCCAAGGCCAAGAAGCGGGCAGAGGACGACGTCGACATTGAGGAAGAGGAGGAGGCCGAGACACCGCGCAAATCGAAGAAGAAGCACCGGCGCAAGCGCCATCACTCACGCAAGAAAGGCCACAGCAGCAGCGAGTCGAGCAGCGACGGTGACACGACACGGCGTCGGTCGTCGCGTCACCGGCGTCATCGGTCCCGGCGCCGGCACGACGACGACGACGACGACGACGAGTCGCACTCGAGCGACGACGCGTCGGACCGCGAGTCGCGCTCAAGGCGACGAAAGCATAAGCAAATCAAGGAAACCGAGAGCGACCCCGAGCCCGAGAAGAAGAGCAAGACGCCAGACAAGAAGAAGACGTACGACGAGGGCGTGCCCAAGGGTAGTAAAGAGGCTAAACAGTCGACCGGAGGTGAAGAGATCGTGGACGGCCACAAGGAAGACAAGGTCGTCGCGTCGTCGACATCAACGACAACCGCGGCGACGACGACGACGACGACGACGGCGACCACCAGTACGACGGGGTATCTGACGCGGGAGCAACAGCAAAAGAAGGACGAGATACGAGACGAAGCAAGCACGAGCAGCACGAATGCGTCCGGCAAGAACGGCAACAAGAGCACGATTGGCAAGATGCAAGACAAGATGCGCTCGATCCTTGGCAAGAAAGAGGGCAACGGCACGACCAAGAAATCCTCGCGATCCAAGACACAGTCGAATGGCATTTTAAACGCCTGCCCGGGGACAGTCCAGGGCGAAGAGGGCTGGTACGAGCACGGCGAGTGTGAGCGCTACTACTTCATTCTCATTGACGGCAAGTGGAGCTTGCTGTACGGTCCGATGACGGACGACGACTACGAGCTCTTTTGCAGCAAGGTAGGAGGACGCCGCGATTTCGTGGTGCTATGATGGCAATGTAGGTGCTCGAGTATGACCTCATGATTGAGCTGCCGCCGACCCATTTGCACAAGCACGGGTACTATCTGGACAAGGACTTCAAGGTGCGGTATATCAAGCCGTAACTGTGTCGTCGACGCGACGTAGTGCTGTAGTTTTAATATATACGACCACATCTTTTGAATGTGCACACATTGTCTATCGAGCACCGATGTCTTGACACTTTGCATGGGCCGTGACCGAGCAGTCCATTCGGTCCCGCAGCACGACATCGATGAGTGTGGTCGCCACACTTGACTATTGATGTGCACGGAATGGATCGACCAAGTTTATTCGCCGGGGCGTTGGGTGCAGCTGGATCGTCTCGCTTTCGAAGGCACGTCGAGCTTCGGTTAATGGATAAGCGGGAGTTTTGGCCCCGAGGGGCGGGCTCCTCGACTAATTCAGCTCTTACCTTGCTTCCTGGTGCGCGCGTGCAAAGGTAGCTCGGTACCATACTGGAGCCACCTCGCAAGGCGCAGGGCAGACACCAACGGTGGTTCTTAAATGCATCTTTTTCGATTTAGAAATGTAGTTTGTTGTATGCAGTAAGCTACACATGGTCGTCGCGGGCGACCTGCGGCGGGAAGAAGAGCCGGGGTGGAATCCGTGCCGTCTTCTTCTTGGGTTCAAACCACTTGGACGGCGATTTGATGAGTTCGCACACCTCCTCTGTCAGAGTAGCCTTGCGCGGCTGGAGCTTGTGCTGGAGCTGGAAGATGGGCAAAGCTGGTCGCGCAGCTTCGTCCTTGGTCGCATCGACATCAAACGACCACGTCACGGAGCGCTTGAGCGGCGAGACGTTGGCTTTCGTTGCTGTCGGCGCCGCCAGCGACTTCCACGTCTCAACCTCGGTAGAAAGCGGCGCCGACACTTCAGGCTCCTCAATCGAGAGGCCTGGTCGCTGCTCGTTGAGCACCGACTTGCGTCGGCCCTTGCGCCACTCGGTGAGCTGGGCAGCCGAGAACGCATCGTTGTTTTCGGCTCCGTCCGCAGGCTTGACCGTCTCTTTCGAGCCCGCGATACCTTCGGTGTGGTGCGCCATCTCTTCGAGTATCTCGGGCGTCCGATGGATGCTGAACGTCCCCTCCTTGTGCATTTGAACGAGCTCCTCGAGCTGCCGCCCGTGCGGTAGCCAGTGCGTCGTCACAACACGGTATGCCTCCTGGTGCCGGGTGCTGAGCCCTACGACACACATAATACATCCATCCTCATCTGCTGTCGATGAGAATGTACCCTTGGGTGTGACGCAGTGCTGCTGAATGAGGTGCAGTAGCTCGGGCGTGCGCTCCGAGTGGAGCTTGCGGTTGTTGATGCACCGCTCGGCGTGTTCGACGAGCTCCTCGAGCAGCGCCATGTTTTCGTTGAACCGAAACAGAATATTTTCCAGCGCATCGTTCTCGCGCAGGCGCAGCTCAATGCACTTTTCGTTGATCTCTTTGAGGAGCCGCTCCGCGTTGGTCATGTGCATTTTGTTCTCGCCGGCCATGAGAATGAGCTGGTCCAGAAGCACCTTGACGCCGACGCCAATGTCACTCGGTAGATCGCACCAGCCACGTCCGAGCGTCCACCACCGGTCGCGGATCGTGAGCGCCGCTGAGACCCACTGCAGCCGCTGGAGGTAATACTTGCTGTTGGCACTCCGGAGCTCCACGGGCGTATCGTCGTTGCCGAGGAGCCAGTCGACCACGACATACCCGAGGGTGAGCTTGCTCCGGTCGAGCGGCAGCGCCGTCGCGCTCAGCAGTTCCCGCGGTACTTCAAAGGGCATCGCGTCCACGACACCGAGGTTGGTCGCGACGCGGCCTGTGAATGGCACCTGTTCCTGGAAGGCGATCGCAGTCGTCCGAAGCGCCGCGTAGTAGGCCATCGCCGCCGCATTGCCGCCACTCGGGCACTGCGATAAGAGCGTCTCGGTCGGCGCGTTGATGAGACCGGACTTGGCCGCACGAAAAGCTCGTCGCGCGTAAAGGCCGTGGCCGGAAGCCGCGCATTGTACTTTTGGAGGCACAACGCCATGTCTTCTTTGGTCATGACCTGGTCCCGGGGCACACCGACAAGTGCCCGCGCGCAGCGGTCCAAGGCCGCGTACGAAGCGAGCTTGATGCAATAGGTTTCGTGCACGAGGATGGCGTGGAAGCGGTCGACGAGCGATTCGTTGCTACCGCTCATGTCGAGCTCGACGACGTCTGCGGTCTCTTCGAGGAGCGCCTGCGACGCGACTGGGAATGTCTTGATGAGCGAGTTGCGCTTCCGCATCGCTTCCATGAGGAGCTGCTTGCGAAGGAGCTCGACGTGGCTGTCGACAATACCTAGAGGCGACGGACCATTTCCGAGCGCACCGTGGGACAACGTGTTGACACGGACGCCGCGGACGTACTGCGCGTCGCCCTTCTTGTCCAAGTGCCGGGCGACGAGAGCGTCTTGAATATCCGTGATTTTGATCGGGAGTGGCACTTCGGTGACTTGATGTGCGACAAGGATCGAGCACACCTTCTCGACGCTCGCATTGGCCGGCACGGGAATGTTGCGCCGCGTGAGCTCTTCCTTTTGTAAGGTCGTCGCGAGGCCTTTGAGCAGCGCATCGAGCTCCGTCGTCGCCAAGCCCCGGCGTTGGCACTCGAAGAGGAGGTCCTTCATCGTGATCGGGATCGCCGTCTCTTTGTTTTCATTGACACAGTGCTTGACCTAGTAGAGTAGATGATGCCCTTTGCTGTCGGAATCGTGTGGCGAATATGAGCAAGTACCTTCCAGAGCAAGTCGCCTTTGCCGACGTCCTCGAGCACCGTGGATAGCTCGACGACGCGCTCAGGGTTGCGCAGAAGCTCGTTCTTGTCGACGGCCGCGTCCATTGCGTCGATCTCATCAAGGACGACCTTGGGCCACTGCCCCGTTGCCTTGCGAATGCGCGCAATCTCATGCCATGGCATCGACCTACACAGAATGAGACACATACCACGCTATGCAGAGCACGTACGCCGGAAGCACGCCTCGATCCAGGAGGGCCGCCCGGACGTTCTCGGCGTTCATGCGCATCTCGTCCTTCGTGATGAGGAGGCGTGCGTCGCGGCCGTTCTCCGAGTACTGGAGCCAGTCGTCGCGCTCGGCGTCGGTTGTGATGCGGTGATGCGGCAGCCGAATGAGCTCGCGCTTGGCCTCTTCGTGCGCGTACCACTCGAGCATGCCCTCGACCTGCTCGCTATCGTGCTCGACGCCAAGGTCCTTGGAGCGAACGAGGTCGTGGTCGCGAATGAGGAGGAACTTGCGCAGCGCATACGGCGTCTGCTGGCAATGGATCATCTGACTTTGCTGCATCTCGAGAAAGCCGTTGAGCCAATTCTCGACTTGGGCCCAACGCTCCTTGACAGCACCGAGTGCCTTAGCGTCCACGTCGCTAAACCCCTCGCACTGTTCGTCGAGGAGCCGGAGGAGGTCGTACGTCCGGCGCCAGTGCAACCCATGCGTCTCCATGAGCCGCAGCTCGTTGATGGGGCCGTCGTGCTTGGTGAGCGCGATCCAGCGAAACTGAACGGCCGCGACGGCGTCGGCATGGCGCGGGTTGAGACCCTTGGAGCAGTGGTCGCTTACAAACTTGAGGAGGAGCGGCGCACGGGCCATGTGCAGCTTGTTGCGCTCTTGCATACTGACGAGCTCTTCGAGTACGTCCCGTAGGCTCAGCCACTTGCCCTCGACTTGGTCCCACGCATTGCGGCGGAGAACGTCAAGGCCTTCGACTTGGCTCTGAATCGCCTCCAAGAGGTCAGGCGTCCGGGTCGCGTCAATGGCGACGCGCGATTGGATCTCGAGCAGCTCTTGCAGCATAGGCTGGAGGTTTACCCAGCGCGCGTGGACCTTGACGACGGCGTCTCGGTACGCGACAATCTGCGGCGCAAACGCAAGCAGTTGGCTTGGAAATTGCCGCTTGTGCGAGAGGAAAATGTCCCAGACGTGCTCGAGAAGCGTCGGTGTCGTCTCCCAGTGCATCTTGCCGACGCTTTGCTCGCTGAGCGTCTCGAGGTAGCCCATGAGGGTTTGCCAGCGCCGGCGCTGCGCGGGGACAACCGCGGCCGTCACACGGCGCCGCGCGACTTCGAACGTGTCGATGTAGTTCTTCTTGAAGTCTTTGAAGATGTTGATGGCGGTCTCGAGCATCGAGAGCTCGGAGAACGAAAGCTGGGTCTTGATGTGCACGAGCGCCTTTTTGAGTTCGCGGGTGCAGAGACCGTCGTTGCCTCTGCGGTCGAGATGGAGCTGGTACTGCCGGTTGTGCTGGCGCTACGGTCCTGTTGGAACCTCGAAATTCAACAATATTTTGATCCGACCTGGTCGAGGAGGTCGAGCAGCGGGATAATGGCCATGCCCACGACCTCGTCTGTCATGCGGTTGTTCACAGCGCCCCGCGTCTCGTGGTCGACGAGGATCGACACGCGGACATAAGCCTTCAGGAGCCGACCGAGGAGCTGCGTGAGCTTGGCGACGCGCGTCTTCTTGTCGAGGCGTTCAAACGCCATGGCATCGTCCTACGCATGAGCTTAGATGACGATAGTCACGTCGAGGATGGACAAACATGGTCCAACTCGTCGACTTCGTCTTCAAAGAACGTCAAGATGCGTTCGGCTTCGATAAAATCGGCGCTTGGCGATACACTGAGCAGCGCCATCTTGTCGAGCATTGGAATGAGTTTGGTTGTCGAAACGTAGTGGAGCTTCAGAAGCGTGCTTCGGAGGCGGTCGGTTGCGACTTCGAACGGCGACCGGTGGTCTGCGACAACGTGCTCGGTGTCGGTGGGCTTCTTCTCGACAAAGTCGGCCGACCACTTGAGTCGCCGGTGCTTGTGGCGCGGCGAGAGCAACTCGACGACCGCGTCGGCAGTCGCACGGCCCGCGGCGATGACGTCGGCGGCGCTCACCTGCGAGAGCGTCATGGGCGGCACCACGGCCACGTACGACGACGCGTCGTGGCGCGGCTTGAGCACGACCGAGACGGTCCGCGACGTGAAGCCCGTTTGGTCGTCGTCGAGGCGCACGAGCTGCAGAAGCTTTTGCACCTCGTGTTCGTGTTCGACGCCTTTCGCGCTCGCGAGCACTTCGCCGTGAAGCTTCTCGACGAGACCGCGCTCCGCGTGCTGTCACCACAACGTTAGTGACCGTGACAAGTGTGTGGTGAAGTACCTTGGTCTTGTAGCGAAGACTGCGCAAGACGAGTTCGTGAGGGCAGAGCACCCACTTGTCTAACGGCGCACACCGACGGACGTGGACGGTGGCGCCGACCGTAAGGAGCTGCTCCCGCTGCACGCGAAGCGTCAGGCTGCCGCGCGGCTCGCGGTCTTCTGGGTGACCTTTTCGGTACAGTGGGATCGACAACTCCTTCTACAGATCATCGACATTGCGTGAGATCGGGCAGAGTTGATGCAGGCATCTTTCGTCGTACGGCGTGCTTGGGCAAGGTGGCAAGGTCCAGCGTCGCGAACCCAAGGCAGTTGGCCGATGCAAATGTCGACGCGGCGCCCGTTGTGCTTTGGCCCGAGAGCACGGCCCCCGACCCGGACGTCATGACTTCGAACACCAACTTGGTCGCGTACTCGAGCGCCATTCGTGGCTAGCATCGTAAATGCATTTGCCACCCACAATTGCATAACACACAAGTTGTACCTGGCCAAAGGTGAAGCGCTTGGCCTTCTTGGCGCTTTCCCAGTCCACCGACGGTTTGTGGTGCTCCTTGTGCGCCGACCGGACGGTCTCGGTGCTCTTGGGGTACTCTTGGCCCTTCAGGTCCTTGAGAATCGCGCCGTCCGCGTTGACCGTGAGCCCGATGCGGTTCTTGCCACCCGCGTTCGACGGCACGTCGCTCGTCATGAGGAAGAGCCGCACCGAGATCTCTTCGTCCATGTAGTCGCCGACCGAGCCCTTCCGCGTCGACTTGGTCGTGTGCAAGTCGTGGGCCTTGAGAACGTCGACATGCACCGCGTCCAGCGCAATGTCACTCGCGTCGACGACGCTCGTAGCGTCCTTGGCGTCGTGGAAGCGAACAACGGACGTGCCGTCAGGTGCCGGGGCCGTCACTAGCGAGGCTTGGAAGCGCGGCAAGAGTTCCTACGCAGACCATTCTTCCATGAGCCGTCGAGGGTTTATATGCAATGCGACGTACATGGCGTAGGTCACATTCTTGCTTGAGGTCGTACGCCGCAAGCGTCACGTCGTGCTCCCGATTGTCGGTCGTCGTCACAAGCAGGTGGACATCTGCCAGTGGCGACGTCACGAGCTCACTCGTCGGTGGCGCCGACCAGTCACGGACCACTTGGTCCTTCTTGCTGCGCTTGGCAACTTGAATAGAGAGCGTGGCGTTGGCGTCGGCACATGCAATATCATCCGCGTCGAACGACCACGCGCTCGCAGTGCTCTCGACAAAGACGAGCGACGTCTGCGCCTGCAAGACGTCGGCGACCGCTTTTGCCCGGTCCAAGACGCTGCTGGCCACCGTCGAGAGCGCCTCCGAGCTCGTCGTCGGAAGCGTCAGTCGCACCTCAAAGTCGATGAGCAGCTGGAGGTTCTCGATCGGCACCTGAGTGAGCGCTTTGCCCGTGCTCTTGTACGTGGCCGAGACCGTGCCCTTCTCGCGAAAGACGACAACGTCCGCCACGGGTTTCCCGCCCAGCGCACTCGTGATCGAGTGGATTGCCACTGCGGTCGGCGCCGCGTCGATCGGCAAGGCGGCGTGCACCATGAGCGTAATCACTCGGCGCATCTCGGCCGCAAGCAGCTGCGACGTCCATTGACTCAGCGCCGCTTGGAATGCGACCGTGTTGGCACCGGCGATGGCCAGCGTGCCTGTGAGGCACACGTGCGGTGCCGGCGCCAGTAGCAACGAGAGCAAATTTGGCAGCGGAAGCTCTTTTACTGACATCTGGCGCACGGCCGCGGCCTTGGCCTTGTCCGCATCGCTCCACTGCGTTCCGAGGAGGTAGCCGTGGTACTGTCCGAAAACGGTCGGCGCGGCCTCGGTGCGCGGTCCCAGCGGCGTGACGGCGCCCGTGACAGCATCGCGGACGGCGACACTTTTGATGGACGACGGGAGCTCGAGATACGTTTGGACGACCGAGGATCCGCCCCAGAGGCTCTGGATCGACTCGGCGGTCACCGACGTGGGGCCGATCTTGATATGCGGCACGTATGCGGCGCAGAGGTGCAGCGCGTCCGTTCGAAGTGCGACATCTTCGAGGCGCAAGGCGTCGCGGGATACGTCGGTGGCGACGTTGGCATTGTCCAGCACGAGGTCGTACACCGGGGGTCCGTCCTTCACCGCGCGCACGCTCGACACGACGCCGCGGACGAGGTGCGTTGGCAGCGGCGCCAAGCACCCGCGGCGCACTGTCTTGGCCACACCGCCGCCTTCGACGAACGCGACTTCGTACATCGCGCCGCCCATTGAGCGCACGACCCGCGCCGCCCGGTTGGTCTGCTCGTGCACGACGCGGACGTGCGTGTTGGGCAGCAGGAGCGGACTCACAAGGTCCATGCCCACACGGCTGAAGTACGTGTAGAGCTCTGTGCGCGGCAGCCAAACATCCGAGTTGTCGTCGTCGAAGCGGACCCGGTACGACGGCGTCCCGTCGTTGGCCTTGATGTCGGTCACGGTCGCCGACCGGAGGGTCTTCCACGTGCACTCTGTACTCGGTGTGCGCACGTATACGACGCTCGCCTCGGTAAGGGACAAGTCGTCCGAGATAGGTGGACAAATGACATCGACAAACGCGTCGGCGTAGGTGCACGCAACGACGCCAGCGATGTACTCGGCGCTGTCACTGGAGCGGACGTCGACGGCTGCACCAGGTAGAAGTGCCAGCGCCGGCGCCACATGTGCGTGGACCGTATCCCCGACATGCAGAGTCGTCGTGGTTTGCGGCGTGTCGTGCGAGGTGGCTGCCATCATGACCGTGTCACCTCCTATATTCACTATGAGCATCCGACTCGTAAAACGCTGCTACCGTACCGCTCCAGTCGCAGAGTGTTGAGAGCGTTGCGATCAAGCGTGGCGTGAGTTCGCCGTGAAGACGACCCGTGAGCTGCCCTTTCGCCTCGGCGACGGCACTCAGCACGGCCGACCAGCGCGCAAGGACTCAGCGAGAGGCACTGTATGCTCGTACGGTAGTCGATCCTTCCCGCGGGACAAGTTGTGGTGCAAGAGGAAGAAGAGCAGCTTCGGCGTGAGCTGCCAGTGCAGGCGGCTGCTTTCGTAGAGCTTGGTGAGCTGCTGAAACAGAGCTTCGAGACGCTCTCGCCAGGCACGACGACGGGCACGTGGCATGTCTCCCAAAGGAACGTTTCCGCCGTCTGCCCCAGCGATGCAATCGAGCGCGGGTCAAAGTCGAGGCCAGCGTACGCATACGTCTCGGCAAGAACGCGCTCGACGTACTCGGCGCGGTGCAGTCCCATGTAGGACGCATTGAAGCTCAAGACGACCTTTTGAAGCACGTCTTTGGTGTCGCGGTTGAGACACTCGATCTCGAGTGTCGAGTTGGCGAGACCGGTGGCGACGGCGAGCGACCCGAGAAGCGACGAGCCGCGCTCCGTGTGGTGCAAGACCACGTCGTACGACGCGACGCGCGTCACGTCGTACGAGGTCCCGAGCAGAATGACCTCGTTCAATCGCTCGAGAAGCGGCGCTTTCCCATCATGGGTCGCCTGCTCGGCCAAAACGTCGTAGCTCACGAGGTGGCCTTCCCGCGTGCGAGGGGCAAACGCGAGCGTAAAGCCGGCGAGGCTGGCATCGTCGACAGTCGCCTTCTTGTCCTTGCCATAGACGCTCTCAAGCGTGAGCTCGAGACCAAAGCGCGTAAGGTCCGAGTGCGCAGGGTTGGCGCGGATGATCGTTTGAGCGCCCGGCTTGAGAGGACTCCCAGCCTTGACCGGCGGCGCATTCGCCGACGTCTCTGGTGCTTCGGTAAAGTCGCAGTGGGTAACCTTGACCCGAAAGCGTAGGCGACCAAGGACTCCGTCGTCTTCCGAATTCCCACGCGCTTTGGCCCACGCGAGCTGCCCTGCTTTCGTGTCGCGCATGAGGCGCTCAAAGACCTCGACTTCGCCACTGTCGTCGAGGGCGAGCCACGTCGGCGTCTCCTTGCCGCTGGGGCCTGCGTGGTGCAGCTTGAGGCGGCGGATGTATCCGAGATGGTCCTTATCAAACTCGAGGCGGAGACAGCCCATTGGGTCGTTGCTCGAGAGCGAGTCGTGGTCAAACACCCGTAGAATCAGCGCCTTCTTGTCGTCCAGACGCACGTCGTCGCCGCGCCCAAGTGTGAACCCTTGGTTGGTCCACCTCGGGTTCAACGTGTTGGGCACAATGTCGGTCTTGCCGCAAGCGACCTCGTCGTCCTTGCCGTTCTTGCTACCGACGAGGTACAGCTGCACGAACGGGTCGGACGTGCGGATGTCGCACACGATGAGTTTCCGGCCTTCGAGGACATCAATGTGCAGCACCGATCGTACCGGTGCCTTGGGCTTGGCCGTCGCCGCGGCGCCCGACCGCTTGCGACGCAGCCACGACTCTGGCTGGTTGTGCACCTTGGTGGTAATGGCCTTCTCGATGCGCTGGGCGACCGGAGGCGGTAGCGCGAGGCTGCCCATGCACGTCTTGGATGGGTGCTTGCGCATCTCTATGCGGACGCGGATCGACCCGAGCTCACGGCGCTGGAGCATGCCCCGCTCCGGCATGAGCTTGAACCACCAGTCGAGTTCGCGCGTGTCCGAGAGGGCTTGAATCGGGATGCGGAACCGGCCCATGGGTGTCTCTCCGTTCTCGTACGTTGTAAACAGTGAGACGCAGCCCTCCAGGTCGTGGGGCTTGAAGACCACGTTGAGGTCGACGCACTTGCTATGGACTTTAAGCGGGTCGAGGTCGCCGTCCATCGTGTGAAAGTCCTCGCGCAAGAGGTGCTTCTCGATGATCGTCTCGTTCTTGTGGTGGTACTCGACGTCATAGAGGAGGAAGAGGTCGCGAACGCCTTGGGCTGCTCGAGCCACATGGCGCGCGACGAAATGCCATACTTTTCAGCAGCTGCTGCATGCGAGGCGGCACCGCCTCGAGCTTGTAGAGCACCTTGACTGGGTAGTTTGCGTCGGTGAACGGTGTTGCGATCTTGCTAATCCGCGCAGGGTACTCGGTACCTACAGGCACGAGCTTCATAGGGACGTCCGAGAGAGAAATGCAAGGACATACTGCGCGTGAACTTGCGCGCGTCGGTGGGCGGCGGGTCAAAGATACCGCTCTGCCCGTACTTGGCCGTCACGGGCTCCTTGAGCGCAGCCGTCTTCTTGAGCTCACTGCGAATGCGCGACCGAAGTTCTTTGAGTTGCTTGTCGGACGAGTGCTGGCTCGCCTTGTCGTGGCCGAAGACCGCGTTTATGAGGTGTTGGAACGAGCCTTCGGGGTCGGACGCATTGAACGGCACGTTGGCCTTGACGCACTTGGCTTCTAGGACCGTGTTGTTGAGGCGCTGGAAGAGGACCTTCTGGCGCTTCTCGAGGACGACCTTGACGCCGGCGAGCAGCATGGCTTGGACCCACACCTGCGAGTCGGTGGCCTTGAGCACGATGCTGTGGCTGACGTCGGATGCGAACGCCGCTTCCACGTCGGCGTCCGAGAGCTTGCACAGCTTGTTGGTAACCGGGTCGGGCGCGAAGAAGGTCGGGAATCGCACTTCAAAGCAGTCGTCGCCGTGGACGGCGGCGTTGCTGTACGTGACGAACGTGCGCGCGCCCGAGAGATCGATCGCGATCGACGCGTTCGTCGCATGCACCGAGTCGTAGAGATAAATGTACTTGTGCTCGTGCTTGGCGCCAGGAATAAAGAGCGCGTACTTCCAGTCCCACAGCATGTGCGGCGATAAACTCAGCGCATTGGCGACGTTCGGTAGCGTCAAGTGCGGCACCTTGAGGCTTGTCATGGCTTCGACCGTCATGGCCGCCGATCCAATCAGATTCGACACGGTGCTCTGCGTCCCAAGAAAGCTACGAGCGAGATAAGATACACGGTACGTGCGCTGCGATGTACCCGCTCGCGTGGTCGGTGAGCCGCTTGCAGAAGAGCTCGCCCTTGCTCTTGGTCTGGCAGTCGATTTCCTGGACCAAGTCAAGCGGGAACGTGCTGTCCTTGCGCTTCTGATGCAAACGCTCGTGCTCGAGGCCGTGCAGCCTATAGTACCGGTCGTCCCCGTCGGCAAAGTCACGCTTGTCCGAGACACTCTCAATGTAACCCGCGTCAAAGAGTGCTTTGAGCCACACGAGCGCGTGCTCGCGGCTCTCGGGGGCTTGCATCGCCTCCGTGTTGATCAACAGCGCGGGGTCCTCCCACCCCAGCAGCGCGTCGTCGTCCATGACCTCGTTCACGGCAAACGCCGTCCACCCGTCCTTCCAGAGCACGGACGGGAGCCGAAGGATCCACGAGATTAGACCCGACCCCGTAAAGCACGCCGCGTACTTGAGCACGAACCCTAAGCATATAATTTGCCAACCGGTGAGTTGATATATCGATACAAAAAAGCCCTACCGCGCTCGAGGGGCAAGAAATCGCCCACTTGGTTGATGGCGTCCCAGCGTAAAGTGCGCATGCGTAGCCACTCGTCGCGGCTGGCATCGGGCAGCGGCACCTCGGGCAGCGTTGTCGCGCCCGCCAGCTCCAACAAGTGCATTTCAAGGTCGACGACGGTCTTCTTACGCACGTGGAGCGGCATGTCATTGAGGCGCCGGTAGAGCCACTCGTCGTGGTCGCCCAGCGCGCTCACGCAGTGCATGGCCGAGAACTTGCGTTGATCGTCGTGCGACAAGCCCTCGTACTCGTCAAAGAGCTCGATCGCGCGCAGGACGCTAAGAACGTGACGGTACACAGCGTTGAGCGCGAATCCAAGGTTGTCGACTTGTCGGTTCTGCCGCGCCGAGAGCGCGCCCCGGAGCGCCTGGCGCCGTGCCAGGTACGAAAGCTCGACGTGGTTACCCGGCTCGAGGAGCGACCGCAGCGAGAGACCGAGCGACGTCTCGGCTTCCTTTCGGAGCACATCGGCGTACCACTCGTCGACGCCCTTCTTGCCATCGTCGAGTGTGGCCGTCACCACGCTCTCTTCAATGACGTCGTCGTCGACCGGTCGGCGCGTGCAACTCGTCCGCGTTTGTAAGACGCCATAAAACGTATCAAACGAAAGCGTCTTCTCGGGAAAGATCTTGAGGTGCTGGTTCGAGTGGTCTTCCAAAAGACTTTGGACGTCGAGCTTGGCCATCCCAAGAACTCGCGTCGAGCCCTTCGTGGCTTCTTTACCGCTGCCTTGGTCGACGATGCGGAAGAGGAAGGCGTCGGTCGCGTCCAGGAGTGGGCCCTCGAGCACCCATGGATCGACGTGGGCGAGCGACGCTCCTTGCGCCGACGGCACGACGAACGTTTTCGGCGTCTCGGGCAATGGTAGCATCGACGCGCGCGACGGTGACGGCGGCCGCGTCGATGTCTCGACGAGACCCACGATTTCGCCGAGCGCTGTCACGGTGACGTGTTTGGCATCGGGGGCCGCCAGGAGGGACACGACAACCGCGGCGTTGACGTTCTCTGGCAACCGCATCTCGGCGAGCGAGAGCACATGGAGACGCACGGAGGTCCATTTCTTGGCCCGTGTTGGCGCCGTCGCCGCCGGGCGCTTGGCCGCCAGCGTCGTGTCGACCGCCGGCGGGAACGCCTTGATCGGCGTCAAGAGGCGTAGCGGGACACGCGGGACATACGTCTTCTTCTCGCCGTGCAGCTGGATGTCGACCGAGCCGTCGTTGCGCACGTGCATGATCTCGCCCATTGCGTCGTAGCTAAGCAGCTTCTTGAGGAGCGAGATCGAGTTCAGCTCGTCGTCAAAGAGCACGAGGTACGTGTCGGACGGGAACGGCGTGTAATGGCGGACGCGGCCCGGAAAGTAGTTGCCACCGGCGCCGCACCGACGGAACGCCAGCACCTTCTGATCGTACTCGAGCATGTCACGCGCGCCCGACTTGTCGACGTCGCCGGCAGGCGACACCTTGTGCAGCAGATGACGTGGCAGCCACGCGCTGTTGTCGACTTCGCTGGGATCGCCGAGCGCGGCGAGGCACGACGTATCGAGGTCACCCCAGTCGCGGTCGTAGAAGTGAATCGCCAAGTGCGATATCTTGGTGACATCAAAGTTGTGCCCAAACGTGAACGCTGTCGTTGGCCAGACAGGATTCCGACTCTCGTAGACGGTCAGCGACTGCTGCTTGGCCGCGTGGACGACCTCGCCCGTGGGCCAGACCGGGTAGATGGTGAAGAACGGGTCCGCCTCGCTGTTACGGTCGCAGTTGAGCATGTTGCGGCCGCAGAGGACGGTCACCCGCACGTCGTACTCGAAGCCTTCGTCGCGGTACTTAACGCTCGGTACCGAGTCGGTCAGAAGGGCCGGGTACGCGAGCTGGAGCTGGAAGCGATCGCCGGGCCACTGCGGGTCGTTGCCAGGCGTCGAGTACGTTCTACAGCCCACAAATTCTTCATAAGCTTGCGAAAAGACGAGAACCGTACCGAATGTGCTGGCCCGGCGTGAAAATGGTCTCTTCGTCCTCCATCGCCGCAGCATCTGTCGGCGGCGCGTCGCTCGATCCCACGAGCGAGTGGCTCGAGTGGAACGAGAGCATCCCCGCAGCGAGCTGCTTCTGGCGCACGAGGAGGTTGGCGAGCACGGTCGCATTGCCAATCATTTCCGTCTCGAGACACAGCTCCCCGAGGTCGACGCGCTCCTACCCGCTCGTTCGCATTCAAGTCGCTTCGGTAGCGCAGCGCCCACCTGCTTCATCCACGGCTCGGGCACGAGTCGGTACCGCTTCGTCATGGCGACCGTCGCAATCGACGTCGTCGTCGCGGAGCCCTGGCAGAGGTCCTGGAGCGGAATCTCGACGCGCCCGAGCGGCGTCGCATGGCCAATGTTGTTGTGGTCCTTGACGTGCAGAAGCAGCGTCTTGGCGTTGTTCAGATCAATGTCCTAAGATACCGAGACGTGAAGCCACGTGGCTACGTCGGAAGCCTCGTACGTAGCCAAGTGTAAACTCTTCGTGCTGCCAGACCGGGTTGAGCGTCTTGTTCACGACGGCGGTCTTCTTCTTCTCCTTCTTGTACGGCACGTCGTGCGTGTCGGTGAGGAAGATGGTGCAGTACGGGTCGCTGTAGCCGTTCATGTCGCCCGCGAGGAGACTGTGCCCCGAGACGACACGCACGCGCAAGTACGGACGATCGTCGGCCATGACGTCGGCCTGTTCGTGGCGCTGCTCGTTTTTCCGAGCCGCTGCCGCGCCGGCGACACCTCGGCCGTCAGCGGCTTCTTGCCCCAGATCGCCTGCCGGACCATGCCGCCGTTCAAGTCTATTACAGTGCGAGGAATAAGTTGGTGTTTGGCGACAGAGATGACTACCATCACGGTCTTCCGGGTGCTGCAGGACGCGGTGCGTCGGTGATTTCTTGGGGCTCTTGGCCTTGCGAACCAGGTACGGCTTGGAGACCTTCTTGCCCGCAATGATGGCCACCGTGGGCTCGACTTCGAGCTTGGCGTACGTGCCCACCGGCAAGACTAGATCGCTCATCTCAGACAACCGGTTCGACCACATTCTTTCTCGAGTACCCGACGTGCGGTCTCCGACCGTGAGGTTCTGGACACCGACAATCGACACGTCCAGAAGCGCGTAGCCTTCAATCAACCCGCGGTTCTGGAAGACGTGGTCGGGCGTTTGGTGGCGCCGGTTGGCGTGCACGAGCTGCGCGTGGGCTGCGTGGAGGTAGCCGTTGACGCCATAAAAGCTCGGGTGGCGGACCTGGTACCCTTTCTCTGCGCACGCAATCTTGGCACCGTCCAAGTGTCGCTCGGCCAGCAGCATCTGGAATTGCGCATTGTCGAGCCTACCGCCACGGTATATTGCCTCTGGGTAGCCAACCATACGATCGTACTCGGTCTGCTCGATGGTTTTCGTGTGCCCCGCGGCCGTAATGGCTCTAGAAACAAGATGCGGTCCTTGGTCTTGGAGACGAGGGTGTACCGTCGCGTGGCTTCTTTTTGTAGCTTCTCCCCGCGGCTTTCGCCAATGAGACACAGCTCCAAGCGCACATCGCCCACGTGCTTGGTCACCTAGGAAGCGTCGAGTGCCAGAGTACAGAAGACGTGGTCGTACGTCGTCCGGGCCCGGCGCCGACTCGAGGGGATACCATTTTGTCAACTAGACACGCGGCTTTGTTTATGGCCGATGGAGGGAGCCGATGGGTACCTTGTACGCAGACACTTCGTTGAGATCAATGGTGACCGACCCGAGCGGAATGAAGCGGTCGCCGCGCTCGGCGTGGAGGATCGTGACCTTGACGTACCCCGCTTGGTCGATGGGTGCGTGCTAAATTGTCGTGTGAGGGCGATAGAAGACAATATTCTCCACATACGCGGCCGCACACAAACGACGATTCGGAAAACGTCGGCGCGATGGTTCGAAACTGGATCCCGCTGCGGTACGTCTCGCGGTGCAGCAGGCGTTTGTGAACGTCGAGCACGTGCACTTCGGCAAGCGGGTTGATGGCAGTCGACGGTGCGTTGTCTTTCGGGTCCAAATACACAAGTCCCTTGGCCGAGACGACGCTGACTTCGAGCCGGTTGTCGGTCTCGTCAAAGTTGTTGGCAATCATTTCCTTCTTGGGCGAGTAATGGCTGCGCTCGAGCGACTGGAAGAACGCGGGGAGCTTCTCGCCCGAGAGACTCATGATCACGTGCAGCTCGCCGTGGTCGCGTTCGTTGAGGACCTTCGTGTTCTGCCCCAAGTTGAGCAAATGCGTCGTCGGGCGCGCGCCTTGGGGCGGCGGTGCGATTTGGAACCAGTGGTCAATCTACCAGGTTTTCCATGACATGGTGTGCATCAAGCCATGAAGTCGTACGGTTTCCGACGACGTCGCACTCGCGACCGACATTTTGAAGAGACCCATGGGCACCGACACGGTCCCAATGCACTCGTCCTTGGTGTACAAGTCTTGATCGTACAAGTCGAAGCGTACTTCATCGACCAGCGTCAAGTCGATTTTCTACAACGTGCATCAAATGCGCAAACTTGTCCTTCTATAGAGAGACATACGTCGCCAAACACCGTGTCGAAGTTCCACACGGGCGCGAGGTCGTTTCCGTTGACTTTGGTCTGCCGCTTTGTCTCGTTGATAAAGTGCCCGCCCTTGTCGACGAGTGTCACGACGCAGTACGAGTCGCTCGTGCCCCGGGCATCGGCCGCAATGAGCCCTTTCGCCGCGGCCACGCGCACGTTGAGGTGCACCGACTCTTGCAAGGTCGGTGTTCGCGATGAGCGCCGATGGACCAAATTGGGCCGCAACCCCGCACCTACGAAAAGGTGAGACCAAGTGATGCGTCGAGGGAAGCGCGTACTCGGGTCGGGCTGGTTGAGCACGTCTTTCGCGCGGCGAAGGACTTCAAAGATCGCGTCGACCCACGCCTTCTTCTCCGTCTACAAAACGCTGTGTGCACCGGGGTACGAATCGAATCCAGGTGTACCTCGGTCGCGGCCTGGACATAAAACTTGTCGGACGTTGGCGTCGACTGGAGCATGAAGCAGAGGTTGTAGCCTTGGTCGTTCGTGAGCGAGACGGTCGAGTCGAGGCCGAGAGGAATGCGGCGACGCGGCGCGACCTCTTGCGGCGACTCAAAGTACAAGAGCTCGCCGGGCTGGAGCCGGAAGTAGCGCCGGCGCCAATTGGACACGAGCTTGTTGCCCTTGCTGCGCTTGATGAGGTAGCCCTCTTTGAGGATGATCGTTCCGTGCGACGGCAGCATCGTGGCCGCCATCGAATCTCGCAGAATGCACACTGGGCCGTCAACCGAAGGGTCGTTTCGCGGGCGTGGTGAGCCCTAAACCGCGACGCTTGGGCGGTCGCGAACCGCCGCGACGTTGCACGAGAAAAGAGTATGGAAGAAAATGCCAGCTGCTGATTGGCCGACGCACGATCTTTGGGAGGATGCCGGTTGGCGCCAGCCACCGAACGCGTGTGGTCAGGGCCGAGTCTGGCGCAACAAGTAGCTTTGTACTGGCGATCGTCGAGCTTACGTTTAGTACTGTACGTCGCTGAGCGTACTCTGCTACCCGGTACCTCTGCGGACTTGGATAAATTGCCCAAAGACGCGGCCTCGGGTTGGAGGAATAGAAGGACCGCTTAAGGTCGTGTCTATGCAAATGCGCTGCTGCACCGATGGAAGGGGCTCAGCGTCGTCGCCCACGTCAAATTCGAGCGCCGACTTGTTTCTGCTGCATGCCCACCCAAGGTGTGCGTGGACCGAGGACACATCCCACCCTCGGATCGCCACACTAGTGCAAAGTATGGGCGAGAACCAGACGCGATGGCCCTTCGTACTCACGCTTCAAGATTCGCCGCGCTTACGACACTGCCAGCTGGGTTTAATGACACGGCAATCTGTCCCGTCCTGGATAAAATCAGTGTGTATGAGCACACGTCTGTTTGCACTTGCGTAGCTACTCGGGCGATGCAGCTGCGGACCATCCTGCGCCAAGGAGGATGTTTTTCCAGTGCCATCCAAGCAAGCAACGCCGTCGAGAACCCATCCGCCGCAGGAATAACCAGATTGCCACGCACATTCATATCGAGGCAGGAGAAGCGGTCCAGCAGATGTCGGCGCTAGAACGCGAGTAGCAGATGTGCAAGCTCCAACAGGCTCTTGCGTGGGACATCGTGGCATTGCATACTCGTACGCCCGCCGACTCGGTGCCCAATCCAAGTCCTCGGCGGGGCCGACTCTGCTCCTCGCCTTTCTGGGCAGGTGCATATTGGTTTGGAGCAAGTATGCATTCTCGAAAGGTTATCCATAGTGTGTGGGGGTGCAGCTCCTACAAGCATGATACTACCGCATCGAATGATAGAGGGTATCGCATTTTACAGTATCGTCCACCGACCAGGGCGTCGCGCCGACCAGGTTGCATCTCGCCTGAGTGGTGCTTGCACCATGTGTTGCCGATGCCAACGGCGCCGAGGAGGGCGGTCGGTCGTCCTACTCTGTAGTAGCCACTCTTGTGATGGCGCAGCTTGCTGCATCATTGATGGGCCCACGCCATTTCCTTTTTGACCGCCGCCTCCACCCATGGACCTCCACTTCATCTTGACGTCGACCACCGAGAGCACGGCCATGCACACTATCAACAAGTACACGTTGGACGTCTCGGGCAATGCGTCGCCCACGAGCCCCGAAGGCCTCTACCCGTCGTACGACCAGCAGCAGCAGCACCACCACCACCAACCTGTCTTTTCACCCGTCTTTCGCGCACCGGCGCTCCCGCCGCTCTGCACCTTGCACCCGGAGCACGTGCGTCCGTCCGATAAGAACATTCAGTGGTACCGCAGTGTCATGGCAAGAGCCAACCCGCTCGAGAGCCTGATCCAAGGTCCGATGAAGCGCCCGACGCCGGTCCAGACCGCGCCCCGCGGCGGCGCGTGCATCATCCAAGGCTGCCGCAACAAAGCAGTGAGCCGTGGCAAGTGCATCACACATGGCGGTGGCTGTCGCTGCAAGTTTGAGGGCTGTGTCAACGGCGCCAAGATGCGGGGCCTCTGCCACCTCCACGGCGGGAAGCGCCAGTGCCAGCAAGACGGCTGCCAAAAGGACGCCAAATTAAAGGGGCTCTGCTGGGCGCACGGCGGCCGCCGCCCCAAGCCCATCAAGTAGTACCAACAGCCATCACTTATATTTATATTTTATACACAAGTCGTCGACCGTTCTTGGCTTCTTCAACACGGTTTACAAGACTCAGAACTTAGGTCAACGCATTCGGCACGGGATCGGCGGCGGTGCGTGTGTAGAGTGTGTAGGTACAAGGAGGTACGAGGAGGTAGCTCAAGCTGCCGATCCTCGCACTGTAGTACAGTACTTGAAAGTAGCGTTGCAGAGGCAGTACAGGGGATGTCGGCGAGGACGCACGAGCGACGATTGGGTGCACGCACGTCGCAGGATCCCCAGCTCTCTGGCACCGGTATACCGTCATACGACAAGATATAAAATACTTGACGCCGTCGCCTCTTGGGTGGTTGCAGGCGCCGTGGATTTGCGCTGGTCCACGTTTATGAAGCGCAACGCGCGATCACCGCTCCACTGCACGACGTTCAAAGCACAGAGGAGGATCGGGGGCAAGCCACCGCGGGTTCAAGTCCCCTTCAAGATGGCTGCCATCCACGATCGCGCGGACAGCGCGTTTTTGGATGCTTCGAGCGAGCATCCTTTTTGCTTCCTCGTGCAGCAGTGTAGTATCTCTACATCCGATAACGAATCCGACAAGGCGTCGCCACACCCTCGCCATCCCTCGACGACGCTCCGGTCCCTGGTTGCTCGTAAAAAACCAGCACAAACCCACCAGCCCATCGAACAAAGGTCCTCGTAAAACCCCCATGCGTTGCTGCATCGCATCGGCAGTGATAACAAGTACACGCGGCGATCCTCGTCGTTGCTCGGTCGCTCGACGGTCGGTACTTTCTCGAAAGTCGGCCATGATACATGTGGTCGTCCAATCAACGCCAACTTCGTTCAGATTAATGGCCAATCGCAAAGGTTGGATCTTGCGGTAGGGGGGCCTACCAAAACGTTGGGAAAGCACGGCTGGCGTCGTGGGGGGTGGTGCAAAAAGCCATGTCTGCGTCGGCGGCCATCGAACAGCGCAACCAGGAGGCGACCGTCTATGTGGGCAACCTCGACGAGAAGGTGACCGAGGAGCTGCTCTGGGAGCTCATGCTGCAGGTCGGCGTCGTCGTCAACGTGCACATCCCGCGCGACAAGGTCACGTCCAAGCACAGCGGCTTTGGCTTTGTCGAGTTTCGCACCGAGGAGGACGCCGAGTATGCGACCAAGGTCATGAACATGATCCAGCTCTTCAACAAGATCATCAAGGTCAAGAAGGCGTCGCAGGACACGAAGACGCTGGACATTGGCGCCAACCTCTTCCTCGGCAACCTCGACCCGGACGTCGACGAGAAGCTCCTCTACGACACCTTCTCGGTCTTTGGCGGGATCATCGAGACGCCCAAGGTCATGCGCGACGTCGACACGAAGCAGTCCAAGGGCTTTGGCTTTGTCGCCTACGACTCGTTCGAAGCCGCGGATCTCGCGATCGAGTGCATGAACGGCCAGTACCTCTGCAACCGGCAGATCGTCGTCCAGTACGCGTACAAGAAGGGCAGCCAGAGCGAGCGCCATGGGTCGCAGGCCGAGCGCCTCCTCGCGTCCAACAACCCAAGCAAGATCAAGCCCCACACGCGGTTTGCATTTGCAACGCCGGCTGTGCCCGCCGCGCCGACCATGATGCACCCGCAGATGCACCCGCAGATGGGCCACACCATGTACCAGCAACCGCCGCCGCCGCCCGCCGGCATGATGTACCAGCAGCCGCCGCCCGTGCCGACGAGCATGATGTACCAGCAGCCACCGCCCATGTACAGCATGCCACCGCCGCCGCCGCAACAGTATTAAAAAGGACGACGACAACAATCAATTTCTACTACCCTTGGATCCGCGTGTCCGTCCTATGACGCCCGCACCTTCCAGCGCTGGTCAATGAGCTTGATCTGCTTGAGGCGGTCTTCTGCGTTGAGCACAAACTCGATGCGGTCGTGGTGTATCGCGCGGCAGGCCAAGCTCGCGTTCAGCGCCGTGAGCCGGACGGCCTCGGCCACGCACACCGCCGGCACGATCTGGGTCCCGCTCAGCGGACCAAACACAAGGCCGTCTTGCTTGCAGAGGACGCGGACGCGGTAGAAAGACGGTCGCTCGTCGAGCGGCTGGACGACGATACGGACGTCCGTAAAGTGCCCGGACACGACCGGCTCGTCCGACACGTCGTTGCTGAGCACGTCGTCGACATACACAATGTGCACGAAGTCGTTGCCAAGGTGACGCTTCTTGCTGTGCCGGCGTCCGTCACTGTCCTCGCGGCTCCAGGACGACGATGGTGGTGATGCTACATCGACGATGGGCTCGGAGAGTGGCCCGTGCATCATGGTGGGGACGTGGAAGACAACCTACCCCTTCCATGAGACAATGCATACAGGACCATGATTGGCGACAGACCTGCATGCACGAATCGCGGTAGACGAGACCATAGGCGCCGTCGCTGCTGCTGGGCGATGTGTCGAGGCCACCGTTGTAGCCGTCGATCGCATCCATGCGGACGATGCGACCGAGGCCGCGCAGGAACGACACGTAGCGCGGGCTACCGCCAACGACCGAAAGCACGTCCTTCTCGTTGGCCTTCCCGCGGGCGATGTAAAGGACGCCAATCTTGTGGGTTTCGTAGGGTGGCGAGAGGTCCAGGACGCTCAGTGCCCGCGTGAGCCCGTCGCCGTCGATGAGCTCGTCCAGACCGCTGAGCTGGTGCTGGACGAGCGGATTGATGTCAAAGAGGTGACTCATAATATGGAGCGGATGCGCCTCCTCTAACCAAATAGGATAAACATCCTAATCTAGTGACGGTGTGGACCACATACCCATGGGCGACGTGTCGAGGCGGTAGCGCTGGGTACCGGTCGCGCGTCGGACAACGACCTGCGTGATTCCAAGTCCGGTGCGGACCGTCACGATCGTGTTTTGAAAGCTCCAGGACCTATTATCGGTAAGGATGCATGAGCTACTATGGCAGGAGGCAAGGACGCACACTTGGCGGGGCGCGGGCAAGAGGCGGCTCGGGGGCTCGGGCTTTGCCGGTGCAAAGGCAATCGACTTGATGTAGTCCATTGCGACTTCGTCCAGCACGTGCGCGTCCGGACCCGATAGCAACGGCCCCGCGGCGTGGGCCAAAGCGCCCCGGAGCGCCACGGGCGCGCAGGCAAAGCAGTGCGCGAGCACCATGTACGCGCTGTACACGATACGCTTGGGTGCGCTCGGCAAGTGCAGTCCCCGCAGCGCAAAGAGCAAAATGGCATGCGATTGCACCTCGGGGAGTGCCGCCGCCCGGTTGGCTCGAAACAGGTTGAGAAGCAGCTCGAGCCCCATGCACACAAGGTCCGGGACCCAGCTGCCGCCGTCGGTCGTGCACGTGCGTTGGACGAGCGCATCGACGATGGCGGGAAGCACGCTCTCGACGTCGTCCGGCATCAAGAGCAAGAGCGTCCCGAGGCCCGATGTCACCGTGTGCGCCAGCGCCCGTTCGGCGGCCTGGAGCGCCACATCCGGCGCCGTTGCGACGCCATGAGCCGGCCAGGCTGCCACGGACGGGCGCAGGTCGAGGCCGTGCACAAACGTCAGAAAGAGTCGGCGCTGGGCCGCCGCATTGAGCTGGGCGTCCGTGCTGCCAAAGAGCAGGAGGAGCTCAAAGCCGCGATCGAGGTACGTGGCCGCTGCGCACCGCCATGCGCTCGGACTCACGTCGGCAGCGAGTCCGTGCGCGATCGCAGCGCGACCAAACGCACGGCACTCGACGCACGACACGAGCTTGAGCGCCATGTCGCTCAGGTTCACGTCGCGGAGCACGAACCGGTTCTCAAGCATTTTGCGGAGCGCCGCGATGGCAAGCTCGAGCACGTCCGTGTGTGTTTCCGTGCTCGCGAGGCTCAGCAGCGCGACGACGGCCTTGGCCACTGGCACACACGCCATGTGCAATCCGTGCGAGACGGCGCTCCGCGACGACACCAAGAGCCGTGAGATTTTGGTTCGTTGGGCAGCACCAGTTGCATCTAAACAGGCTTGAGATGCCGAACGACCAGAAAAGGCATCGATCCGTACCTGATACGACGCGTTGGCTGTCGAGAGACGCAAGAGGCACTCGACAGCGATCCGGCGCACGGCCACATGCCGGTGCGTCGCACAGTACCCTAAACACGTGTGCTTGAAAGGGACAAGAAATCTTGTCTACCTGTCAGTAGCTCGTACGTGCGCACGGCGCGGACCGGCGGCGCGTGCAAGAAGCACATCTCAAAGAGCCTGACGATCGCGCTCACACCAATCTCTTGGGCGTCGGTCGACTTGGAGGCGACGACTGCATTGTGTAGAATGTCGACGAGCGCATGGAATTTGGTCGTCTCGACGTGCTCGGCGACGCGGGCGAGTTGGTCAAGCCCCGACCGGCGCACGTCGGGGCTCGGGTCGTCGTACACGCACTCGAGTGCGGGCAAGAGAAACTCCTCGAGCACGCGGTCTTCGCAGAGGAACCGACTCGCATCCAGCGTGTCGAAAAGCACATGCAACGCCGCGAGGCGCACGGGCGACGGCACCGACATGGCATGGTAAAAGTGGGCCAAGACGTCGGCGAGGTGACTTGACCACTGCGGGTGCGTCACGGGGTGGCACGCGGCGCCGCGATGGGCCACGAGCCGCAAGAGGAGGGATTCGGGGCACTGGGTGAGGTACACTTGCGCCACGTCCAAGAAGGCATCGATGTCGCCTTGAAACTGGTGCGCGTCGACGAGCTTGTCAATGAGCACGAGTGTCTCGAGGAGGTTGGTTCGAATCTCCATCGGACGATCGGCCGAGAGAACCCATGGCTGGAGCGCGTACAAGCAGTCAAAGATGATGCGCCACTCGACCAAGAGCTGGTCGCCGTACTTCTTGACGAGTCGCAGGAGCGAGACCACCACTTCTTGGACAACGACGACGTGGTGGGACTCGAGGGCGCGCCGATGGCTGTGCAGGATCGTCGCCCAGCCAAACTCGAGCTCAGTGATGCGCTTCCAGCCCCAGCACGACATGGCGAGAAAGTAGATGGCACCGCGCTGTACGTACGGCGACGTGGCCTTCGTCTCCAAGAGGTCGAGGAGCCCATGGAGCGTGTGATGGCGGCTTGGGCCCAAGAGCAGCTTCTTGATGACACCCCATGTGAGATCGGCCAGACTATTGGCGAGGCCGCATATCGTTTGGAGACACGCGGGCGCCGACGCGGCGCGGTCGAGCTTGTGGGCCACGAGCTTGGACGCAAACATGAGGAAGCGCTCGCCAACCTCCGTGTCCCCGCGCGTCCAGGCCACGTCCGACTGCGCGGCCAGCGTTACGGCAAACTCAGTGATGACATCGAGCGAGAGCGCGTGCGGCGAGCGCCGGACAATGCAGTGGAGAAGCGAGAGGAGATCCTTCTGCGCGTCCGACTCGCGGAGCAGCTGGAGAAGGTACGGCCCGAGGTCGGCCGCGAACGGACCGACGAGCCGACCGTCCTGTAGCACGCGGCGCAAACTCTTTTGCCGCCGGATGTAGTCGCCGTGGCCTTGCAGCAGCGCGCGAAAGATCGACGTGCGCAGCGCCATGGGCGCCTACAAAACGCGTCGCTGCATCGTGCACCGTAGAAGATCCAAGATCGTACCCGGTCAGCGTGCAAGTCCAAGCACGTGTCGATAAAGTCGAATGCGAGCGCGCGGGCGTCTCCGGACCGGTGGCCGAGAAGGTCCTGCACGCATTCCCACATGGCCACGAGCGATGCGCCGTCGACGCGGACGCGGCGCAGGTCGGCGAGGATCTCGGCGACGTGCTTGAGATACGTCCGATCGTCCTTGTGTCGCACGGCGCCGAGGCTCAGGCCAAGCGGGTCGCCGCGCGCGTCGTGTGCTTGGTGCCGGAGCTGGCAGAGCTGCACGAGGGTCGCGACGTGCGCGACGACCGCCTCATCGTCGATCGGCGACGCGATCGCCTTGCGCAGGACGTCGGGCTCACCGTCACCTAGAGAGTCGGCGTCGCGCTCGGGGCCCATGCGCGGCCCGTCCTCCGAGCTCTTCCGCGACGCAAACATGGCGGGGACAGTTGACCGGATCCGCGGATTTAGAAACCAGTCGCCGGTGCTGGCTAAAAACACGCAGTTTGGACTTGTCCGTCGACCGACGCCACTTCCGCGACTTTCATCGACGCCTGCAAGGGAATGATCTAAAGTCCCTTGAGACTTCGGCTATGACTAAACTGGCTGAAACAGATTCACGACGCTGGAGGCGCATGGCCGTCGACCCTCCTTGGAGTTCCACCCATGTGCGAGGGAGGAATGCCACTGCGCGGATACGCCGCCAACTGGCGCCATGCGCAGTGTATACTGTTGCCTTGCGATGGGACCTCCTAGCGGCCACTGCACCTTTGCAAGAGCCATGGATAGAAAGCAACGATGTGCATTGTCATGTGATCGCAACAAAATAGCGAGGTTAGGGTTGCGAAGCGATCGACTAGAGACTCGGAGTGGCGCACCGAATGTCGGCCACGATGTGAAAGACCTTGGGCGCATACGACTTGACGCGCTCAAAGTGCAGGAGCTCGACGGTCCAGTGCTTGCCGATGGCGGCAGCGAGCGATTCGATGGACGTGAGCACATGCTGCTTCCTACGTGTTGTGGTGGATGAGGTCATCGTCGCCATGGCGAGATCATCATCATCATCATACCACGCGTCCATGTGATCGACGGCGACGTTTTCATGGACGTGCAGCATGCCGCCGCCGGCCTTGAGCACCTGGACGGCGACAGGCCACCCGAGCTCGCTCGACGGCAAGAGACTAATAGTCGCCGCATGAGCACCGACAACACGAAGAAGTCTGTATGTACCCGAGGTTGACGCGATCGGCAATCGCGCCGAGGGTCGGGCCCGTCAACCGGTTGTCGCCCAAGTAGACGGAGCAGCGGTCGCTCACGCCGTTGCGTGCGAGGTTGTGCTTGAGGCACGCGACCGAGTCCGGGTTCCACTCGAGCGCGTGGACGTACGCGGCCTTGCCGTGCACCAGAAAAGGCACGACGTAGTAGCCAATGCCCGCATACAAGTCGACAATCACCTCGTTCGCACAGCCTACATGCGCCTTCTTCATCAAGAGGACGAAGACGAGAATGTCATACCGATGCGGGCCATGCGCGCCTTCTCGGTGACGTTGCCGGACGAGAACATGACCTTTTCAATGTCCCAGCCGTACGTGAGTCCGTTCTCGCGCACCTCGACCCAGCCTTGGCCGCTACTCGCCGTCCGCTGAGACCATCGCGCACGAGAGACAAGGGAAGTACTTGGGCGATGGCGCCAACGCCGGGTGGACAAAGAGCAGTGACACGCGGCTCTGGCGGCGGTCGTTCGGGTCGATGTCGGCATTGCGCGCGACACGGCGGATCGTCGGCACTGCGTCGGCGACAGCGAGCCAAAGCGTTTGGTCTGTCCACGCAGGCTCCATACATGTGTTCTAAACGCCAATAACGTGAGCCACTGTCCATATCGTCAAAACGACCGACCTTAGGCAAGACGAGGATGTCGGCGATGAACTCAAACTTGGCCGGCGCCGCGCCAAGGCCGTGGGCCGCCGCGTGCGCTTGCAGTAGGCTGTGGATGAGGACGTTGGGGTTGAGCACAGGTTTACGCGCCTTCTCAGCGTCGACGACTACTGGCAAGTGCGCCAAGCTCTACAGGTTTTTCGAGTACAAGCGAGGTTGTCAATGGGCGTCAAAGTACCGACGGCAGCTCGGCAACCACGACGGGGACCACAAACACGTTGGGATCCTCATTCTACATCATGTGAAGATGGTATCAACGCAGTGACGCGATCGTACCGAAGGGTGGATGCGGCGGCTCTTGTCGTAGAGACAAAGCGCTTCGAGTTGCGTCTTGATCGCCTTGACGTGGTCTTTAAGCACGAGCACACCGTGGGCCTCTGCCGCAACAACTGCCACCGGGACGTCTGTGCTCGGTGCCGCCGCCGCTTTCTTGTGCTTGTTCTTCTTCTTGGACGGCGTCGCAGTCGGCTTGGCGTCCGACGGCGCAGTCGGCGTCTTCTTGACCCGGATAGGTGCGGCGTTGGTGATTGGGATGACGCAATTGGCCGCAGCGGCCTCGGGCACGACATATGCCAAGTGCTTGTCCAAAATCTACGCCCCGTCGATCTATGAGACGCAAACGACGTGGCCGACACGTTGACAACCTCGTCGTCCGGACCAAGGTGCTGGATCGCATCGTAAACGGGCACCATGCACGCGCCGTCGACAGGGCCGTTGACCTAGCAAGGACACTCATGCGATGAACTCTGGTGGAGGAGCTACCACGGGTGTGATGCGGCGACTCTTGTCGTACAGCGAGAGCGCTTCGAGGCGTGTCTTGACAGTCTTGACAAGTGCCTTCTCGACGACGATGACGAGCGTCTTGGACGCAGGCGCTGTGGTCGCACTACTGGCATTCGTCGTACTGGCCTCGACATGCACCTGGAGCTCAAGGTCCAAGACGTAAACGGGGCTGTAGACGCTTCCAAACCCAAAACACTGGCAGCTACCACCCGTGACCAGGCAAGACGCGGTCGTCTCGTCGTAGACCATGCTGTGGCTGCTCAACACCGCACCGTCGTCGAGCGGCTCGTGTTGGCGCCAGCTCATGCCTACATCGTCCTTTGTCGCATCGATCTTCTCTTTTGAAACGAGCCATTACGGTCGAGGTGGAGCGAGAAGACGTCCCGCTGACACGTCATGAGCGACGACGACCCGCCTGTGAGCACAATGTGCTGGTCCTGGACGTTGACCGCCTGGAGACTGGCCCGCGCGCACGGCAGCACCTTGCCCGTCGTGGCTTGGGTGCGCCACGTATCGTCGATGATATCGTACACGTGGAGGGTCTGGAGCGGTATCTCATCCAGCGCATCCGGCGTCGCGCGGCCCCCAAAGCAGTAGACCTGCTGACCGACGGCCACAGCCGCGTGTTGAAACATACTTGGTCCTACGTATCGTTAGAGCATGCATATTCCTGCGGTAGAGAAGAGTGTACCGGACCGACGCGCTTGCCACGCCGGCGGCGTCACACCAAGGTCCAGCACAAACACGTCATGGAGGACACCCGTGGCATCACGTCCGCCAAGAACAACCATGCGATTGCCGACTAGGAGGAGCCATGAATTACGAACGAGGCCATGAAGCCGAAGCGACGCACCGAGGACAGCAGCGTGGCCGTAGCGTGGCGATGGGACGGCGCCCGTTGCCGCGACAGTTGTGCACTCGAGCGTCGTGAGGTTGAGCGAGCAGAGCTCGTTGAGCGCCTTTGCGGGGCTGGCGCGGCCGCCAAAGACGAGCATGGCGCCGTTGTGGACCACAGCCGAGTGGTGCATGCGCGCTGTCATGGGCGCGACATCGCACGTCTGCAGAATGGCCTTGGTGGCGGCGTCGATAACAACAACGTCGCTCAAACGCGAGGTGCCTGTGGCTGTGGCCCCTTGGCCGCCAAGCAAGTAGACGCGGCCCTTGTCTAGCCTCGCGGTGTGAGTGTGTGGAAAGAGAGAGTCGAGTGTGCGTACGGAGGACGCTCGTGTGGCCGGCGCGGGGCACCTCGATCGCAGCGCGCGTTGCAGAAATCGCCACAAGTTGCGTGCGCGGCGGTGCAAAGAGCGACGTCGAGAGCTCGGCCATGAAGCGCTGGGTCTTGCAAACGTTGGCCTTGAACTTTTCGTTGGCGATCGCAAGGATCCAGCGCAGGTACTCGTCGTCGACCATGAGCTTCCCGTTGAGCGCAATCGGGATTTCCATCGAGTTGGCTGTCGTTCGGATCGCGACCATCGTTCGCTTGTTGCCAAGGACGACGCCCGACTCGCGAAAGCCGCAGGCGAGACCGCACTGGAGCATGGCTTTGGCCGCCTCTTCGTCGCGGCATTGCACGTGCATAATGAACGGCTCGTGCTTGAAGATGACCTGCACAAGAAAGAAGCAAGGTCGGAGGACAGTTTGACGTCGAGATCATGGCGTACCATGCCATTGAGCTGGGACGGGTCCGCGAGCACGGCCGCGTGCAGCTCGTCGTACGAGACAGGCGCGTGCGAGCTCACGAGCCACTTGCCGCCTTTCGTAATCAAGTGGTCGGCGCCGTCTTCGGCGACGCCGCAAAAGCAGCGATGCGGCCCGAGCAACTGCTGCTCGTGACCTAGACAAGCGAGCTTGTGAGCGCACGCTATGGCCGTACGAGGTAGCGTACGTAGTTGGGGTGGCCGTTCACGGCTTCAATCATGTCGACGATCGGCGCATCGATGCTGCCCTTGGGCGACTTGTCGATCGCATCTTGGAGCTTCTGGAGCGACTCGCGCTTGGACGCATCGAACGCATGCAGCATCTTCACCAACAAAATATGAGCAGCAAATCGTGTAGGATTAGTCCTGAATTGGGTTGAATTCGGCAGTGTCCTATTTAGAGTCGACGACAGCGCAGGCAACAAAGCCGAGAGACAACAAGACAGACATGTGGACAGCACACACGCCATGGCCTTCTCAGACGCGAAAGCTTTGCATGCGTTTCATCGCATCCGTGCCGTTGCGACGTTGGTTGGTGCTGCAACCACGTCCATGGCTTCACATGCACTGTCGCTCGGACCGTCGCGGCTCCATCGTGCACGGGGGTAGGTACTCCATGAGCTTCACGAGGCCAGGATACTGTACGAGTACATATACCCTTCAACTATTACAGTACACTATTGCATCTACACACGTACAGTGCGTGCACAGGCTAGGTTGAACCGATTGCACGAGTATTTTTCAAAACTTCCGTGATTTCGGAACATATTTACAAAAGTTCCGTGATTTTGGGCAATATTTACAAGAGTTCCGTGATGGCTCTGATTGGCTAAAAATACCCTGAATAGGAGGTTCTGATTGGTCAATGGGAACAATTTCCAGAAGTGGCCGCTAGGCAAAAATACACAGAAATAGTGTGAAACCCCGAGGAGGACCGATATAGCCTGACCGACAACGGTAGAAAATAGTGTGAGACACGTCATGGGATCACGAAACCGACTGTGGACGAGCGACGCCGCCGTTTCCTTCATGTAGCCACAATGTGAATGTGGACCATGTACTCGCTGGGCGTCACAATAACAAATAAAGCTTGCAAGGCTGCAGCGGAGCTCGCGCAGCGGCAACCGGCCGTTACACGCGGGCGGTCAAGAAAACACAACAGGCCCAGGCCGACATCGTCGCACGGACGACCATCAAGACGACCACCAAGAACAACGCACCAACCAGAACAAGGCAGGCGACCGGCGCGACCACGCCAAGCCGAGCGTGCACCGAAGGAACCAAGTAGGACCAGATAGAGTAGATAGCTTTCATTTTAGGATAGTTCTTCAAGCTAACCCACCTCGCCACCCGAGCGACGCAATACACTTTGCCATCCCCCAACGCCGAGTGTAACTGCACTTCCCTATATTGCGTCGAGTTTAAAATGGATTGAAGACGTCCAAGTGACCAACGACGTGGACAACCAGCATTTCTTGATTAACGTCGCCAAGAGAGGTACTACACCAAAACGCGTCCTATGCAAGTCACTCTGTTCTAATACCTCACACTACATAGGTATGACCATCGGCAAATTGAAGACCCACGGCGACAACGTTGCCTACATCTGCATCAGTTCGACACCTTGTACATGGCACGTCATTGCCTACAAGGTCACCAAGGGTGATGCGATAAGCACGTATAGGGCCCAAGGCGAATGTGCGGTAGGCTGCGCTTATGTTGCCAGAGTGTTGCTGCTGCCAGTTATTTTGCGCGCACAGCACCCGGTAGAGCCAATGCGGTAGAGCAAGTATCGCGATCGTTCAAGTAAGATATGCACCCATGATATGCACCCATGAACTCAAGTCTACGGCAAGCAACCATCTCCTTGATGGATGGATCACTGACTCTCTCTCTCGCTAGATATACACAACCATACACAACGTCCTCGTTTTAACCTTCCGTTTGCCGCTTAGTTCTTGATAATGGCCGAGGTCATGCAGATAGCTGCGACCCGACGGACGGCACGAGGTGGAGCGGGTGACGCCGGGCGAGGGCTTGAATGCCCCGACGCTCATAAAGTTTGCGTGTGCCGAGTACGCGATGTCTCACGCGCTGGCGAATGACTCTCATTTCAAGGAGTCGTCCGGGACGTTGCTGCACGTGCACCGCGGATCCCACTCCGCCGCCATGCGCGAGGTAGACGTCAAGAAGTTGAAGTGCTCGTGTTCGTATCGGGAGCAGATGCAGATGCCTTGCAAGCACCTTATCCGTGCACTGCAACACGCCAAATGCCTCCAACGCATCACGGAGTGCTTCCACGAGATTTACAGTTTTAACAACTACAAGCGGGCGGTGATGGCAGTCTCGTATCGCCTCCTACTCTACGCCGACCGCGAGCCCGAAGACGTCCTGCCTCCCAAGGTCATTGTGCGTGCAGGAGAACGCGAGTCAACCGCATCACGAGCTCGGGCGAGTCCGGCAAGGCGAAGAAGGTGTACAAGCACCGCCTGTCGGCAAGATCGGCACCGTACAAGTGCAGCTCTTGTGGCGGCGAAGGCCATAACGCAGCGACATGCCGCAAGTAGTCAAGGAAGTTTGTACCCGCGACCCCATCGCGCAGAAGTTATTTCCGACCCGACGTGCCCGGGACGTGCGATCGCATTCATATTTCATATCTCGTACATGCACGCGACGAGGAGCTCGAGAGCGACGACGAAGATGACCTTCGCGACGTCGACGAAGACGGCTTTGAGCTTGGTGCAGGACGTCTTCAAAACATTTTAAACTCGACGCAATAGAGGGAAGTACAAGCTTTATTGTTATTGTGACGCCCAGCGAGTACATGGTCCACATTCACATTGTGGCTACATGAAGGAAACGGCGGCGTCGCTCGTCCACAGTCGGTTTCGTGATCCCATGACGTGTCTCACACTATTTTCTACCGTTGTCGGTCAGGCTATATCGGTCCTCCTCGGGGTTTCACACTATTTCTGTGTATTTTTGCCTAGCGGCCACTTCTGGAAATTGTTCCCATTGACCAATCAGAACCTCCTATTCAGGGTATTTTTAGCCAATCAGAGCCATCACGGAACTCTTGTAAATATTGCCCAAAATCACGGAACTTTTGTAAATATGTTCCGAAATCACGGAACTTTTGAAAAATACTCCGATTGCACAAGCGTTTACAGGCTGCAACCATGGTGCCCACACGACGAAACGGCAAAGTGCACTTTGCTCCTCGGTGCAACGTAACCGCCACGTCACCTTCCACTTGGCTCGCACGACCTGTACTTTTGTTGGCCAACGCGCGGGCTCGGCGATCGAAAAGCCAGTCGTCGAACCAATAAGATCTCGTTGTCGTGTCAAGACTATGACGGTATCGTCGTCCGCGTGCCTGACAGTGTCCGCCACTTTAGGTATACTGCCATGACGAGGAGCTTCGTCGCCCACCGGCTCGTTGAAGCGCACCACCAACGTGGCGCGTCTCTTCTGTAGTAGAATGGACACGAATGGTTGTTTTTTCTATCGCATGGACGGCGCAGTGTGCACGGTTTGATGATTGCAGGACGCGCGAGAAGAGCCGGAGAGGAAACCATCTTCATCGTACCCGCTTGCAGCGCGCACCTTGACGGTCTTGCCTTGACAAGGCCCTCGGGTGTAACTCTGACGTGGCGCGCTGGTGTACACTCGACGCATTACAAAACATTATTTCACAGCCAAGTCGGATCATTCAACGAAAGACAATGTCTTGCGACGTCGTGTCCATCGCGACATGCTTGTCTGGCAACGAGACGGTTGTGTATTCACTGCAAGCGACGGTCAAGGGTTATTCACCCTTGCGTTGGTGAGGCATATACCGGGTATATGCGAGCCATCATATGGGAGGTCGCCTACCCTGTACACAGTACAGCGCGTTCTGCGTCATTCGATTGCTCCGTAGCGCCAACCTTTATTCCTGCCACGTCCTCGGTGGTGTCGCGTCGGTTTCTGTCCATGCAGAGCCAGCTGCAGCGTGACCATGTGGGTCCACTGGTCAAGGGCGTGATGTCTGGTGTCGCCAGCCATCCGCTGCGCGTGACATGGCCGGCCATCCAGAAGTTGCTCACAGTGGGTTGCATTTCGTACGCTCGGTAGCCAGCGCTGGCACACCACGAACTCACGAGCGCGTCGTCTCTGTGTTTCGCGCCACCTTGCCGCTAGTCGCCACGTTGATTGCACCGTAGATCCAGCGGCGTGCGCGGGAGAAGATTCCGTGGAATTCTGCCGCGACAGCCAATCAGCCCACTCGTATGACTCATAGAGACCGGGCAGTGGCTACCATACGATCCAATGGCCTCCGACTCCTTGGACCAAGGCGCACGCGACACGGAGCGCAGCGAGAGGCGCTCGCACTGGGACATGCTTGCGGATGTGGCACACGCTGTCTTGCTTCGAGACGCCGGCGGCAATCGCTAAACCGGGTATGGACGACGAAACCCAAGGCGAACCGCCTCCGCCGGCGGCGCGAGTACCGCAAGCTCGACGCCGCCGGGCTCCAGTACCTCCGCGACCGCGTCGTGCAGCTCACCGCGCAGCTTGAGCAGCTCGAGCTCGCGCGACGATCCAGCCAGCCGCCCGCGACGATGCTAGCGTGGCGCGAGGTCGCCGGTGCGCTTGGCGCTGATCTCCGCGCCGTGTGCACAGCCAACGCCTCGCTGCGCCGACACGTGCAAAGGAACGACGCGTTCCAGAAGGCCATGCACACATGGGTCACGCGCACGAGCCACGTGCACGTACGTTCATCTCTTCTCTGGGTGCGAGCCTACACTGTACAACTACTATCATACTAGGGCCACCCGTCGCCGCGCCTGACGTGGCAAGACGCGAGCCTCCCGACGGACCCCGCGACGCGTCTTGAGGCCATGGAGTGGATCACGCACCGCTTGTTCCACAACATTGACGGGCTCATGGCGGCGTCCGGTTTGCCGTTCACGCGCGACAACTACCAGTGCACGACCGTGAGCCAGCTCGACGACACGTATCGCATCCAGGGCTGCTCGGTCCGCTATGTGCACGCCGACGTGAGCGCAACGGCGGCGTGCCTCGAGCAATTCGCCAAGGACTTTCCACCCTACTTGGAGGCGCGGGTTCGATCCTATTCGTGTTGCGTGACTTGTTTGAATCGTCTTTTATATTAGTGCCTCACCGAGACGGACAATGTGCTCTACACGCGGTACCTCTCGCCGTACGGGCTCACGGTGCATTTGCCGTTCATCCAGAACGTCCTCCAGCGCCATTACTTTGATGGACGCCGGTACGTCTCGTTCCGACACTGCATCACCGACGACGAGGCGCTCCCTGCCGACGACCTTGTCTGTGGCTGGACGGAATGGTATTAGTATCTGTCGATGGCGTACGACGAGGCTAATGTCGTGCTTAGGACGGTCGCCGAGTCGGTGGGTGAGAACGTGACCGTCGTCAAAGAGGGATTTTTCGCCACCGGCCTTCGCACACCAAGCGGCGAGTACATTCGCATGGAGGCCGTGTCACCCGCCGCCGCCGCCTGCGTCGACCCCGCGAACCGACTTCGCTGCATGCAGCACGAAGCACAGATGCGCTTTGCCCAGTCGTTCGAGGCCGACACGGCGTACTTTAACGCGCTCCTTAAGGTCCACGCGCGTAGCCTCATGGACCGATGACAGCTTGGACACTGATAAGCATTCGATTACACGGGAGCGCTTTAATGCATTGGACCTTGAGAAGAGTTGAGGGTCAACGACAAGTTTTATCGAAGTGACCACATGTGAGTGGTACGCTGTGCGCGAACAAGGCATGTGTCGAGCAGCTGTCAACGCGGAAGCGTCTTCAGCGGCGTCACGACGCAACGAGGTCGGACGATCTCTTCGCGGCAGGCGTCCGATGACTCATCAGAGACCTGCCTTCAGCGACCAATGCGGCTGTAGTGGCCTCGAGCCATGTGTGGCTCACACGCAACACGATCGCAATGCTATCATGTGCCTACGTGGTGGCCTCATCCTCGGTGCCACAACGTGCGATGGGTCTGAAGTGGTCGCTGGAGACCACGCCTTGGCATCTCAGCTGCTCGCCAGGTAGCAGCGATATCTCGCTCACGACCACACATGGCTCGAGGCCACTACAGCCGCATTGGTCGCTGAAGGCAGGTCTCTGATGAGGATAGCATTGCGATCGAGATGGATGAATGGCTAGACCGAGGGGTTGGCCTTGCAGCGAGGGCCGAGTCACATACCGGATAGTAACGGGATGCTAATACGTGGCACTCCCAGGACGCACTACCGGTACGTGCGGCGATTTTCCGCGTCGGGCACGCTTTGGGGCACAAACCTGATCGCGGCGTGCATGTTTGAAAAGTGCATGCGTTACTACGTGGTCGTCAAGCGCACATAGGGCCTCTGCAACGCGCAAGATTGGGAAGATAAACAATGTTTTTTGTTTCCATTGTACTACATCTATGCGCGGAGAAAAGTAGACGCGGGCGTCGGGACTGGGTAGCCAGTAGGAACCGATGATGCCGGTGTTGGCGCTGGGTACGCGTTCGGGATGGTGGACGCTGGCGTCGGCACAGGCTCTGTCGGGTACACACAGCCCCACACGCCCGATGGGATCTTCTGGCACACGGCGTCCACCGGCGCACGACAGTTTGTGCCATCGACGTAGCTCTTCAGCGTCTTCACACAGTTGGAGATTGCCGCGTCGTTCTTCAAGGGGCATTTGGAGCCTGCCGGGATGAGGCCAGTGCCCGAGCACACCGGGCCTGGGATGCAGTAGGTCGCATCACCGACGACGCTCACGTTGGTGCAACCTTGGGCAAGGGTCGGACGTTGCGATACTGTTGTGCTTGGCGTCGCGGTGGGAAGCGT